ATACCTCTGGAATAAAATGTTTCTGTCAAAAGGAACTATATGTAATTTTGAACTTACATTAACATTAATTTATACAACTTAATATAAATGTTGCAATAAGACTAAAAGACAGAAAAGAGAGATATGAGATTATAAATATATATGAGTTAAAGTAAAAGCTGGAAGTCTTTAGTTAATATCCGTATATAGAGTAATTCAAAAATAGGTATTGCATAAATAATATATGCATATTTATAAAACAAAATACTTAGTATGGATATTAAAATGAAATATTTAAAATAAACAAAAGGTGGGACTCTCAACTTATTATTTGTATATTGAATTTAACAAAACTTGATACTGCATAAAAAATGTAGGGGTATGTATAAAACAAAATGTGAAATAATATTTAAAATAATATAATATATATAAATAAAATATATTAAATAATGTGTAATAAATAAGATATATTTTTAATAAATATAATAATAATACTTTTATTTTATTTAAAGTGCCAGATATTTATTAAAGACGTCGAATATAGTACATTTAAAACAAAGAAATTAAAATAAAATATATAAAAACAGTAAAATATAATAAATATAGTTTATATGAGATATAACATAATAATATATATTTAAAGCAAATATTTAGTAAAGCTTAGAAAGTAACAACAATGCCAATTGACTTAATATAGTTCTAGAAATTAAGTTTTATGCAATATTTGTTTGAAAGAGAAAACTTACTAAATTAGAATAATAAATTATAATATAACAGAAAATGCAAACATAATTGAAAATCTAAAAAAATATTGGTTTAGTCAACGACGTGGTGTAGGAATTATGATCTTTTGATGCACAGATTTATTATATTATTAAACTTAATTATTATAAACATTCTAATCAATGTTAATTGGTCCATAAGCTGAAGTAGTGTTCGCCAAAGAGTATGCCGAGTAATTTAGTTTATTAAACTACATTTATAATTTCAATTAGTACTTAAGTCTTTAGACAGAAAAATTAAAACAATTAAAATAAAAGCGATAATTAAATATGAGAAACTATTCTCAACTAATCACACATTCCACACGTTATCCATATTCAACTCTAAAATTCTGTTCGTCTTCGTCGTCTTGACTATTATCGTCTTGATATTTACTACTCGTTGTTTTGATATTTGTTATCTTCTCTTAAACAACGTTAGAATGATATCTGATAAGTCTATTTTGGTTTAAATGCGGTTTAGTTTCAATTGATAAACAAATAATGTTAATAGTGTCTACTCTAAAATATAGTGGTATGAGAAACCATAAAAATTTCCTTCTTTTAAGTTCACAAGTGGCACATTATGACTTATTAATTATTTCCATATTTTTAAATCAACTTTCTCGCTGATTTTACTAGTTAGTCTAAAATTAGTACTCTTTTCAGTTTTTATAATTTAATGCTATTTGGAATAAACACAGGTTGTAAAATATAAAAGAATTACATTGAATTTTACTTGCATGAGTCGTACGCCATTTCAATTTCTTCAGCAATGTCTATAATGGTTTTTTTTCCAGGGTATTATTATTGACGATCAATGTGTCCTGAAAGCGTTTGAACCAATCATATACTCATAGTAGCGAGTATATGATCATTTTTGCAAACAATGACTAAGTTAAAATGGAGTAGTGAGTATTAATTGTTTATGACTGCAAGGTGTTCTGGAATATACACTCATCCAAGTTTAAAGACCTCAGTTTTTTATGTTCTTGCTGTGTGCTTCTAATATCTTCAGCTTACATATTTTTGTCGTTCCAAACTTCTGCATTTTCGAAAAATCGACAATATGAACCCGACAATTACGAGTGTCTAATCTTATAAAGAGACTCTTATAACTATTGTAAAAATATAGGAATAATAATAATCAAAAAATATATTAATATGTACAATTTCAAAAAGTTTAAGTGACTGACTCTTTTGACGTTTAATATTTGCTTTTTTATAGACTGAAGACTTAGAGGAGTTAACGATTTCTTGTGTTTAGTATTTTAAGAATATGAATATATGGTTTCCAACGATAATAGAATAGTTGAGGTTCAATTTTTATGTGAATATTGCTTATAAAAATATTTTCAAACTGTCGTTAGGTTTTGGTGGTTGACAATACTTGATATGAAAAAAATTTCTCCTATATTTCTTAGGTTAAGACGAAAGAAAAGACCTGTATCTACAATGTTTCCAAATAATTAATTTTTTTAACAGATTTTTTAGTGGTATTTCTATGAGATGAATGTCCAAAAAATATATATCGTACTTAATATATTTCCTGTACGTAATAGACAAACACTCAGCTTAGAATCTATATTATACCTCCATGAATAGACATTTAGAAAAAATTACAAATTTGTGGATCGGGAAATAGTACTCAAATTTTATTTGGTTGTGAATTATGTTCTTTTATTGTAAAGCTTCGTTAGACAAGACTGTCTTATATTTAAAGTATTTATTAATTATATTAAACAATTTTTTTTTTAATTTTTTATTAAGTCATATTACGATTTGTGCTTCTATTTCCGGCTATTTAATGTGTTTAAATTTATTGAGAAATGCAGTCAATAAAAATGTTCCATGTAATATATTTTAAATTGTTTGATTGCATATATTGTGGGTACAAATTAAATATATTATCTATAGATTGTAAGTGCATTACTTGTTAGTTGCTAACCTTTATATTTATAATGCCATAAATAGATATAATTGAAGTACTCGTACTATAGGATTAGAAAAATATTTATTGTGTATTGTAGACTATATTCAAGTAATATTTGAAAAAATGTAAATAAAAAATAATTAATTTATATATCATGCTAATATCATTAATAGTTTGTATTATCATATATATATTATTATTATTACATATAGTTTATATTAACATACATAGTTTATTATCATTATTATTCTTATTCTTATTTTATATATAGTTTATAGTTTATTATTATCAGAATGTATTATTTAAATAGAATATAGAAGTTTCGGTTGTGGATAAAATAAAAGGCAATCAAGTTATATGAAACTTCTTTGTTATATTATTATATATAAATATTTTTTAAGCAAGAAGTAATATCAAGCGAATTCAATTAAGTTTCTGCATATAGAGACATCTTGGATAATTGTCGGGTATGTCGCTTTCTAAAATTCATGCTTGGACTATGTATATCCCTGGCTATGACTTAGCTAACCATTGAACGAAAATATCTAGCGATAGCTAACAATGCTTATATACCATAAATGAAGATGAAGTCACTTTATGACCCACTTAGTCAATTTTAGACTAGAAGCGTACAAGTCAGTTACTTCAAACAAAAGTGTGCAAGACTATAGCATGAGTGCGTGTTCATCAATCTCATTTTTCTATAATTTAAGAGTTTCTAATTTTAATAAATTTAAGAACTAAATACTTTATTGTTTTAAAAGTTTATTAAACATAAGCTTTAAATTAATTTGTGAATTTATAATGAGAGAAAAATACCAATTTTTAAAATAATCTACCCGGCTTTAATATTGACTTTGTCCACACTATTTTCTGAAATAAAATTTTGAGATGATCACCATGCATCTATTAATCTTTGTTTCAGAATACTGAAAATTAAAGCATAAGATTTCTATTTATAAATTTGGTGATTTAATTAGTGTAGACTTGGAACGTATATTTCAAAACAACACGTTCTCGGGTATTGCTCTGATTCAGAGCTTCTCTTTATCTGCGCAGCAAACTCCGTTAGTATTTTCTCAACTTGAACACTTCACCTCAGATAAAGTGTATCTCAATGTCTTCTTTCTGTAACTGCCTTTTCAAATTCCTTCATCGCTGGTGCATCATCATCCATTCTCACGAAATAACGAAGCTAGCAAAGCCGGTGCTAGTTTGGTTATGCTATATATAGCAGAGCTATATCAATGCCTTTATAAGACTCGTATAGCTTGTGGTTCATTCGGTACGGTAGTCGTTGCAAATTCGAAGAGGAATAGTGATCTTTTGCAAAACTTTTCTCTCGAAAACTCCCAGTGCTTCATTATTTTGTTATAGCGTAGTAAGGTATACAGAAACTCATTTAAGGGGTGGACTAATTTAAGTTTTATGTAAAAAAATTTGATTAAAATAAATGAATTATATCCAATATAAATTAACTTAAAATATTTTAGTAGGATTTAAACCAAAAACCTTCCTGACATGCACCAATGGTCTGTGGTCCATAGCATTTAAGAAGAAAGAGCAACCTTGTTTATTGACAGTCTTTGAACTCACAGATTATGTCAATTAATTTAATATAAATTTATTATAATTAAATATAGTCTTGAAAAGCAAAAAAATACATATTAAATATTATCTTAATAGCTTTTTAATTAATATTCTTTAATACTTTAATGTACTACTGAATGTAAATAAATATTTATAGTACTCAGTTAATAAATTTCAATCAGAAGAAGATAGTCCATAGCACACACACGTCCCATAATACATAAATTCATATTTAATGCGCTAATGTTAATTTCAATTTCTAAATTATACTGATTTTTTGTGAAATAAATATTCTAATCACCCCACTGTCTATAAAATAGTTTATCTAAGAATAAATTCTTGGCCTTAACTGTGTACGTACATACGCTGTACTTATGGATTCATTAGCTGACTATTGATAATGGCCAAAATTCATAACCGTTCATAATCAGTAATTGCCAAAGTAAGTTCACTACGCATATATTTACTGTAATGAATTCCTCAAATAGAGCTCTCTGACCCTCTCAGTTAAATGATAATCTATTATGTTATTCGAAATTGATTAACAGCGAAAATAAACATGGCAAGATAGAAGATTTTTCGCAAATAAACGTATCAGTCTCGTTTAGTTCAATTGCATTTGACTTGCGATCGCAAGACGTGACGGTTCAAATTGTCGAAGTTTTTCTTCGCTTACTATAACTTCTTGAGTTGTTGCTGTTTTAATACAACAAAAACAAACATTTAATTATTTTTAGTGAAGCCATTGTAGCGCCAACAAAAAGTAAAATGTCTGTTAGTGGAGCCGCAATTATCTCGGGCACTGCCGTTGCAAAGTGAGTGTTTAAAATCCGAAAGAAATTTTCTTGGGAGTGTTCTATTAAATAATAATAATAATAAAACTCTATTTTCTAATAGAGGAATTCGTGAATCTCTTACGCAAGAAGTACAAGAATTGAAGCAACAAATTGCCGATTTTGCACCCGGACTACGCATTGTGCAAGTCGGTGGACGCGAGGACTCCAATGTCTATATTCGCATGAAAATCAAGGCTGCCACCGAAATTGGCATAGACGCTGAGCTTGTTAAATTACCACGGACGATAACTGAAATTGAGTTACTGGAAAAAGTAAGTGCTTATCTATATTTTTTTGCAAATTACATAATATTTGTATTTAAAAGCTTTTTTTCTATAAAAAATACTTTTTCATATCAGATTTAAGTGGGGATGCGTAGAATAAAATGTTTTACTTTCACTTATATTATGTGGAACTAGTGCTTTAAATTTAATAATTCATTCTTTGTATAATTTAAATTTTTTTCCAAATGTATAAAAATAATTCCTTCAATTACGCCGAATAAATATAGGTTCTCTACAATATATATAGGTTCTCTACAATGGTAATGGGTTTCGCAAAAGTTTTTAAACGTTGGTAGCGCTGTGGAATTCTAAAGGTGTTAATTAAAAATTACTCCAAAAAATCTTCGTTTAATATAAATTTTTCACTGACTATATAAAGATAATTCCTTTGAATTATATATATATATTGCAAAAGTTTCAACTTTGGTTGCTTATTGGGCTTTTAAAGATTTTAGATAAAATTATTTCAAAAAATGTAAGATCTTTCACTTAGGAGAGATTTAAAGTAGTTTCTTCCTAATTTCTCCATTTAACACTTCGTTCAATAATGTGTGTGACTAACTAATTAATACACATTTTTTGCCAAAATTCGTTTTTATCATCAACATAGTCCCCTTTTAGGGAGATACAATCATTCCAACGCTTTTGCAATCTTTCGATACCGCCTTTGTAAAACGATTTTTCTTTGCCTTCAAAATAGGCGTTAGTTTCTGCGATTACTTCATCATTTGAGCTAAATCTCTTACCACGGAGCATCTTTTTGAGGTCTGCGAAGAGCCAGTAGTCGCTGGGGGCCAGATCTGGAGAATACGGTGGGTGCGGCAGCAATTCGTACCTCAATTCGTTCAATTTTGCCATCGTTTTCATCGACTTGTGATACGGTGCATTGTCTTGGTGGAACAAAACTGTTTTCTTCGCCATAAGAGGCCGTTTCTTTGCGATTTCGTCTTTCAAACGCTCCAATAATGCTATATAATAGTCGCTGTTGATGGTCTTCCCCTTCTGGAGATAGTCGATGAATATTATTCCATGCGCATCCCACCCAAAATACAGACGCCATAACCTTGCCAGCCAACTGCTGCGTCTTTGGTCGTTTTGGGCGGCTTTCACCGGCTGCATGCCACTCAGCAGACTGCCGATCTCGGGTAGGACCCAAGACGAAAGGCGTGTTATGTGTTACATTTTTTTCCTTCTTTTGCTATTGTGGTCATGTTCAGATCACGGTTAAGTGTTTCATTACTAGTATACCAAAGTGGCGTTTGTTATCATATGAAGAACTTTTGGCTGTAAAGTTGAACTTTTGCAATGTTAGATTTGGTAGCTGAGCCCCATAATTGAATATCATGAAGTCATATAGAATTGCTTTATAAAGAAGAAGTATGTTGTTGAGGAAGAGTTTGAAATATCTGTCTATGAGCCGGTATATTTTAGTGAGCTGGCGACCAAGTTGTTTTCTTTAGATAATGATATATTTCTTCCACCTTAGTAAGTCATCTAAAGGATGGCTAATACATTTATTGCTGTCATCTGAGGTTAGTTGCTTTTTGTTTAGCAAGATAGTTAGACGTCACCTTTATGTGCCGTGAAAATTAATTGTACCGAATTTTCTACATTTACTTGTATCTAGAACTGATTATTAAAAATGTATAAAATTTTAGCTAAATTATGGCATTGGAAATTTTTTAAATATTGATGCCTTTTTGTTCTTAAGCACAACAGAGATATACTATATGTATGTTTGGGGTGCATTGTTTTTTTATTATTTCGAAACAAGTTAATATCAGCGAACTCCATCTTAAGTATATGGATCTATATACTATATTTAATATGTGCATAATTCTATATTGATATTAACAATAAAACAAATAGTATCCATTGATATTGTCATCTGGGATTTGACATAGTTTTTTCAATGTTCTTCAAATTCTCTTTAGTTTCTTAATGTCATAATAAAGAATTAACATAGATTTTCAGATTATTTAGTAGTCTGTTTTTTATTACCGTATACATATATTTGTTTTTCAATCATTAGCGTGGGATCACTATTACTATTCTATCCGCTTAATATTTAAGACTCTATTCTACTTTGTTTAAGCAACAATTGAAGTGATGAGCGGCAATTGATAGTCAAGGCTGGCTCCCGGTAGCTTCAAGGAACTTTAGAACAGTAATTTAAAATAATTTAAATACAATATCACGTTCGTTCAAAAAAGATTTTGCTGTCATATGCAATTAATCATCAATATTGTATTATAATATTTAAATAAGTTCGGTATAATAAACGTTATAACAAAACTGTTGAACTATATACCTATATACGATACTCAAAAGAGATTGCAACCATACTCGTATATACTTGCGGTTATCATCATGCTGATTTTCATAATAGTTAATCTGTTTTCTTCTAAGCAAGTTAGAGATATCAAAAACATAAGACGCTTGAGTAATGAACTAGTAGATAATAACTCTGCATGGTACGTAGGTGTCTAATATCTTATCAAAAGACTCAAATATTTGTTATTTTATGAGATATGTAAATCACAAGCTAATCATAACCATAATCATAATCATAACGATTAAAAGTAACCGCTTTTAAACTAGTTTTTTCTTAAAGTTAGATTTACGTGCAATAACCTTTTTTTGTACGTATAAAAAGCAGTCTTTTTCAATCCAAAACGTACTCCCAAATGGAAAAATACCTTACGTGTTTAACAGGAATGGGTAATATATTCAATGCTTATTGTAAGCATCAGTATCAATATTACCCGAAAAAATAATATTGCTAAAGACGAACTACAATATTTTACGGACTGGTGATGCTAACAGTTTGGACCAGCAGTGACAGTTGAGAAACGCTGGTGTACAATATCTTTATACAAATACTTGTATTAAATTCTTAAACAATTCTAACAAGGAACATTATAATATATAACTCCTCTGGATTTCAATTTAACTCCATAAATTCCTTCCTATAAATTAGCAGTTCGATTTCTTTTCGCCTTCTACATCTGTTGCGTGAGCGTCTGGGTCTTCGGCTCTACCTTAAGGGTTATATTTAAGAATTTTGAAGTGATATCTTTTGCTATGTCAATGTTTCTCCAGGAATTTGCTTTGTTCTGAATAATAACATAGTATACGACACATTGTTTTAGAGATTGCGGTTGACTATCTTAAAGAATTTAAGCGCTATTGGTACTTATAATTCAGTTCTCACTGTCCAAAAGACGTGAGGCTTTGAAATTAGTGTTAAATAATATAATTTTTAAGCTAAGCTAGGTGTGTCCATATTTTTAAAGGGTTCCAAAAGCTTGCCCAATTTTAGTAATTTTGTTCTGTTGGCTTTAGTCGCCATTTGATGTATGAGGTGTCTAGACCTCCTTGATGCTGGATTTTAAGTTCGAAATTCGAAAAACTAGTGCTATTTAATCACTATCCGGTTTTTCTGAAAAGAGAAATATTAGAGGATTTCCATAATTTTTAGGAGTTCCAGAGTTTGTTTAAATATATTTTATATGTATGGCTGCCTAACATTGTTGTTTGATATATAGGTAGGTAATTATCGACATTCTGAATGCTTAAGCTTCCTAGTTCAAAGTTTGTAATGATTTGATATTGGTGATATTGAATGTTAGACTGGCAGCCTCTGTGTTGATTTTAATTTTTCTTAGAGAATCTATTATCTGCAAAATCTAGAGCGCTAAGCCTGCTTTCTAGCCCGAGTGTTATACCCTGCCATTACTTTTTAGCATTTAATCTGAAACAAAGTGAAACGGTTTAATGATCCTTATAAAGTGCTATCGATTTGTCTAGAATTTATATTATTATAGGAAATGTAATATTATTTATTAAAATAAAATTATTTTATAATATAGTGTTGTCACAGGGTATAATTGGTCACAGACCAAGTAGCCTGTGATAACACTATATTGGTCATGATATGTTTGTCATTTAGTTTGGTCATGACTAAGCAATTGGTCAACACTAATTGTTTGGCCATAAAATAATAAAAAAAATTATTTTATTTATTCTTTTTCACATATAATACATAAACATTTATTTGTTAGATAAGCCAATTGAATAATGATCCTATGGTGCATGGAATTATCGTACAAATGCCACTTGACTGTGATACCAAAATTGATTCACATAAAATTACTGACGCGGTTTGTCCCAAAAAGGATGTGGATGGCTTACATACCATAAATGAAGGTCGTGCAGCAATTGGTGATTTAAAAGGATTCCTACCCTGCACACCATGGGGTTGTATTGAATTGATAAAAAGTTCGGGTGTACAAATTCAAGGTGCCAATGCAGTAGTATTGGGTCGCAGTAAGATTGTCGGGACACCAGTGTCGGAGCTACTTAAATGGGAGCATGCCACTGTAACTGTTTGTCATTCAAAAACCAAGAACTTAAACCAGATAGTGAGTATAAAAATATACTGATTCGTTTATTTATTGAATAATTATTGAATTATTTTATTTGTTTAGTGTCGATCTGCTGATATTTTGGTGGCAGGTATTGGTGTACCTGAGATGATAAAAGGCAGTTGGATTAAGCCTGGTGCTGTTGTCATTGATTGTGGCATCAATGTTATACCAGGTACATACATACATATATAGTTGAATCTTAAATCTAATTTAAAAAAAATAATAGGAAGTAATACTACTGTCTGCATAAAATAAATATGATAAGTGTCGTATGTTCATATATGTTTTATCAGTTGTTATTATGTATTGTGTACACATTTTTAAAATTGACCTACGGTTGATAAGAAAGATCAGTTTAATCTTGAAAGAGATGCTTTTAACAAACAATATATGAACTGACTCAATATATGGATTGAGTACATTTTTGATGTTTAATCAATACAAAAGTGATTGTATCTGATAGTAGGAATGCTCGAGAGAAGAGAGCTGGTCTGTTTCAGTAATGTGATTTCCAAACCTAATTATGACCAATAAGAAGGTGTTTAGTTTGTGTAGAAACTGTAAAAAGTGAAGTGATTTGTATCAGTTTTTCTATTTTTTTATTATTATTGGTAAACGTTTGACTCATACTACAATAAACAATTAATTATGTTTTGCTTATAAGTTTTGTGTTTTTAATTATTAAATCAAATATTATAAATATTAGTGCAGTGAAGGAATAAATTTAAATAATATACATATATTAAATCTAGCAATTTAATTATTTATTTTAATAAACGAATTCGCTAATAAGAATTGTATACTTAAGTATAAAATTCCTAATACCTACTAATGTCGAGATGAAAAAATTATGATAAAAATTATATATATTCAACTTTATATGTGTATATGCATATATACGTAATATTTCTGAATATTGACACTTTTTGAATGAAGACAAAAATAAATTGAACACAACTCAAGCGTGCAAGCTGCAGTCGTAGAGATGTTTACTCACTGGCATTGTCCCCCAAAATAGCCAAAGGTCTATATCAATGATATGTAAACAAATACTGCATCCGTCTCTTCTCTCAACCAGGATGCAGTGACTACACTACCGTTCTGCAAGCATAAATAAGAACACAAGCATTCAACATTTCTTTATTAGTTCAGTTGAGAAGTTCCATTCTATTCGACAATATTGATTTAAATAATATTAAAAATTATATATTAAAATATTAGACATAGCAAAATGTGTCTAAAATAAGAGTTTGTTCAAATAAATATATCTCTATATTTATGAATATACGTATAAGGGCTATATAAATGTATTGGCTGAGAGTAATAAATAATAAATAAATTTAACTGTGTTTAATTAGAGTGTTGCATTAATTTAATATATAATAAATTTTTATTATTTAGATTCTACTAAAGAAAGTGGAACACGCCTTGTTGGTGACGTTGATTTCGAAGAGGCTAGAAAGGTAGCTTCGTTCATTACACCAGTTCCCGGTGGTGTTGGACCTATGACAGTAGCTATGCTAATGAAAAACACTGTGCGCTCAGCAGTTTTAGCTGCAAATTCCCTTTTGCGTAAACAATGGGACTTGGTTCCACTAACTCTAAATAAAGTGATACCAGTGCCGAGGTAAGTTTTAACTCAATTTTATAAAGATATTTAAAATTAATATATTGTTTGAATTTAGTGATATTGTGATTGCTAGATCACAAACACCAAAGAATATCTCTATATTAGCTGAAGAAATTGGATTGATGGGCAAAGAAGTTTCCCTTTATGGTGACAAAAAGGCTAAAATTGCATTAAGTGTTATTGAGCGTTTGAAAAACCGCGGTAATGGACATTATGTTGTTGTAGCTGGGTAAGTTCAACACACTTAAAAAAAATGTTTCAGTAGATATGAAATTCATACAGGTATTAGATGACTTCTTGTTAATACAATTATAAATATGTATATCTATATATATACAAAACATATCTCTTTAACTTTATTTGATTCAGAAAATAATTTATTATGAGTATTGCTTAATATCAGGCAGTCCTTGTATATTCTTTAGTGTCGGTCAATTTAATTGATTAAAATAGTAGTTAGTTTTAGTTTCGTTTGTAAAACTTTTTTGAAAGTTTCTCATTAAAAGTGTTAATTACCCTTTAGTTTTCTAAGTATATATCCATTTCTTATCTATACTTATAAATCAAGACATAAACGTTGTAAACTACACTGATATATTTGCAAGTACTTTTGGAAGTTATTCTTAGGTTCTTAGAACCAAGTGATGATCAAGTGTTGGTCACCACTCTCCATGGGATTTTACAAGCAGATCCCAACGGGTTACAACTATAACAACATTACAAGGATCTGTTATAATTCTTTCTACCCATCCTGCTGACAACTTTTTTTTTTGTAAATGCTCTTTTACAATGTTATTATTAAATATACTTCAAATTTTTGCTATATCAGAGATCTCAGAATCTTCCGCATAGATGCATTAACTTAACTCCAATTTTCTCGTTTCCAACTACTGTGTTAAATCGTGCTTCGACATGTTAACCTATAGTACCTAGAAATATCAAAAATGAAATTGACCGAATGCATTCCTGTAATACTGTTTACAACTGTGCTACAATTGCTGGGCTCTGTATTCCATATAATTAGACTTTAATAAGAGTCGCTGGGTAATATAGTTTAATCGTACATTGAGCAATAAGTTGCTACTAAAATATAAGAAATTCCCTTATCGAAAAAGAAATCTTGTTTTAAACCAATATTTTAATGTTTAATTATCAGAAAAATATTACAAAAATATTTTAGAACCCAATTAGCGCACTTTTCATTAACTCATCAAACAGTCATCCTAATCAATGATTTTGATTATTTTTAATTAATTATTTTGACCTGTTTTCACAGTATAACTCCAACACCACTAGGCGAAGGCAAAAGTACTACTCTAATTGGTCTGGTACAAGCTCTAGGTGTACATAGAAACAGAAATTCAATAGCTTGTCTGCGTCAACCCTCTCAAGGTCCTACATTCGGTATTAAAGGCGGTGCTGCTGGCGGTGGTTATGCACAAGTTATACCAATGGAAGATTTTAATTTGCATATGACCGGTGATATACATGCTGTTTCAGCTGCAAATAATTTACTTGCCGCACAATTGGACACACGTATTTTCCATGAGAATACCCAGAAGGATCAAGCACTCTTCGATCGTTTGGTACCACGTATTAAGGGTGTACGTAAATTTTCCAAAATACAATTACGACGTCTGCAACGTTTGGGCATAAATAAGGATGATCCAGAGTCACTAACAACAGAAGAGAAGAGTAAATTTGCACGTCTAGACATTGACATCGACACTATTATGTGGGAACGTGTTGTAGATATAAACGATCGCTATTTGCGTCAAGTAACTATTGGAGAATCACCAACAGAGAAGAAGTTCACACGTACCACATCATTCGCTATTTCGGTGGCAAGTGAAATTATGGCCGTTTTAGCGCTTTCACGTTGTCTGGCTGATATGAAAGAACGTCTTGGTAATATGGTTGTAGCTTTTAATAAGTCTGGTGAGCCCATTACTGCCGATGATTTGGGTGTTACTGGTGCTTTAACAGTATTACTGAAGGATGCACTTGAACCAACACTTATGCAAACATTAGAAGGCACACCAGTGCTCGTGCATGCTGGTCCTTTTGCTAACATTGCACATGGTTGCTCTTCAATTGTAGCTGATGAGATAGCTTTGAAGTTAGTTGGAGATCAGGGTTTTGTTTGTACTGAGGCTGGTTTCGGTTCCGATATTGGCATGGAGAAATTCTGCAATATTAAATGCCGTTCATCAGGTCGCAAGCCAAATGCTATTGTATTGGTTGCAACAGTGAGAGCTTTGAAAATGCATGGTGGTGGCGCACCAGTGACAGCTGGAGCACCACTCAACAAACAGTACACTGAGGAAAATTTGACACTACTTGAGCAGGGTTTACCTAATTTATTGCAGCACATTTCTAATGGAAAGAAATTTGGTTTACCAGTTGTTTTAGCACTTAATCGTCATAGGTAAATTTGGAAACTAAAATCTTTTATTAGTAAATTTAATTTAAATATTTTATTTTAGTAATGATACTGAAGCAGAACATAAGCTGGTTTTGGATGCTGCATTGAAAGCTGGCGCATTTGCTGCTGTCACTTGCTCCCATTGGAGTGAAGGTGGCGCTGGTGCAGCTGAATTGGCCGATGCTGTCATTAAAGCTTGTGAGAATTCTAAGAATTTCAAATTGCTCTACTCGAATGATATCTCTTTAGAAGACAAAATGAATACCATAGCACAGAATATGTATGGTGCTAAAAAAGTGGAACTCACTGAAAAAGCCGCAGCTGCTGTGAAGAAACTGACAGAAGCAGTAAGCATTGTTATTGTTGTTATATTAAATTTTTCTAATACTTTTTTTAAATAGGGTTTTGGTAATTTACCAATTTGTATGTCAAAAACATCTGCTTCTTTGACTGGTGACGCATCTATAAAAGGAGCTCCAAAAGATTTTACTTTGAGTGTGGAAAATGTTTATGTTTCCGCTGGTGCTGGCTTTGTAGTAGCTATGTGTGGAGAAATTTCTAAAATGCCTGGTCTACCAACACGTCCATGCATATATGATATTGATCTCAATACTGAAACTGGCGAGATTGAAGGATTATTTTAAAATCTACAAATAAGGACAAAATGTCAAAAAGTCAATTAAAAAAACGAAAAAAATAATTTTTAAAGTGTCCTCGGGGTTATACATTCTAAAGTTTTAAAAGAAAGGGATTTATATTTTTGAATTAAACTTATTATTTCAGCAAATAAATTAAATGATTACATGACACTTCAGATTCAATTCTATTAAAAAAAATTTATTAAAAATAATTTTAAATACTTTTTATAAAAACTTCAAAATATTGTTTGTTGACGTACAAAGTAAATATTTGTTGTAATATATTTTTTTGTAAAAAGTTAAGTGCAATGTTTGACCTTTTGTTGTTAATAAAGATATATTTTTATATATATTAATAACGTAAATTTTTTTCTTCTTCACAACTGTGTCCTTTAGTCGGTTCAATGTTGAAAAATTCATTGTTTAATATTTTATGTTCAAAAGTTTGCGGTTTTTCATGCTATAAAAAATTAAAAACTTAAGTATTTTATTTTTAAGGGTATTTGTATTAAAAACAACTCATATATGTCCAACGCTATACAAAATAAATTTCTACTGCAGTTTAAAAAGATTGACCGTTCGATCGCCGTTCAATCTACAACAACTTATGGTCATAAGTGAAATAATAGGTGCATTTAATTAAAGAGAGAATAAGATCGTAAACATCTTCCATAATGAGTGTATATTTGCTCAGAGATCAAATCCATACGGTTAAACATTTCACATAAATTATTTTTTAAAGTGTTAGTAAAGAGCTTTGACTAAAAAAAAATCATTGCCGATTTTGTAATTGTTGTTGGACATATGTTATATATATATATAAGTTGTCTATACTAAATTTCTTTTACATTACGTTAAATACTTGCCTCCAAGTTTTTCATGTTATTCATTTCAAATGTGGGATCGTCTTGTAAACCAATAAACTCATCCTCACCATCTTCAGAGTCGCTGCTAAAATAATTGTTTCAAAATTTTTTAAAAATTAGGCAGATTAATTAAGTAAACAATTTTATAATTAATTTTAAATACCTAGCACTTTCTTCGTAAACTCCAAACTTGGGATAATTGTTATTTTGTTTATTTATAACAGGATTTGAACCTTCGACAGAGAAAATGTTACTTGTTGGTGCACCAATCCGATTCAAATTAGAGGCTATGGAACTAAATTCAGGTGGTTCGAAAGCTTTCAATTGTCGTTTATAGCTGCGAATTTTATAAATAATCACTATAACTAATACAGCACTTAATGTAGCAAATATGATTATAGCCAAAATAAGTGCTGTTAGCAACCAATCATCCACCATTGGCGTAACATCATTGACAGTGAGATGAGGTACATCATTCAATATAAGATTACGGCGTTGCAATATATTCTGAATTTTTGAGAGGAAAGCTAAGTCCGTTGAACGCCTGCAAAGAATAAGATTTTTAAGGAACAGAATTCATAAAGAGCACGATTCATATAGAGCGATATATATAAATAGCAAGAGTGATATAAAATTATAATTCATTTTAAATAAATATATAAAGAAATAGTTTATATAATACAATATATAATAATGAATAAACACATTTTTAAATTTCAGATATATATAAATTGATTAAACCCGTATCTATTGAGAATATTTACTTTTGTATTTCCACAGCATCAACAGCTTCATTATTGTGTATAAAATGCATCATCACGTCTGTAATAAATGCACCATCACGTCGTTTAGTTATGCCTTTCTGGTTTGTTGTGTCTTCTACGGAGTCAATATTGCATATCTCATATCCATATATTTGTTGGAATTCTTCCTTAATCTGTAAAATTTTTAATAAATAATTCCATATTTTTAAAGTTTACTAGAAATTTACTTACAAATTGTTCATTTTCCCGAATAGCTAGTATTTCACTGAGAAATACGAACTTAACTCGATTCGCTTCGGAGACTATGTAAATTTTCACAGATGCTATATCATAATGTGGTGGAATGGCAGAGTCCATTGCGACAATATCAAACATAAAATAACCTTTCATATTATTTGTTACATAGGAGTTAAGCAATATTTCACCAGTTTCTATATTTAAAATGAAAAACTGTGAACTGTTGGCGGGAAGATTTTCGCCATGTAGTTGGAAAGTCGCTTGGTCTATTAGATAGAAAATGGTGTCATTTAAATCGCGATCATCTGCCTATGTATATATAAAGCATATATTAATAAGTGGAAGATCTATAGAATAAGTTTAAGTTATAGAATTGATGCGTTTTAATAATGAAAAACGTATTATTTCGCGGCGTCGTATATTTAATATGTAATTAAATATAATATGAAAGGTTTTAGAGCCAAAAACTCGGATGGAGCGAAAAAAAACGACTTTGGTTGCATTAGATACCACCTAAAATGATTTTTGGTGTTTCTCAATGATCACAACAGGTTTTAGTTGTTTTAGCCTTCATTGCTACGAAGGCTTTGAGTTATTAACAACGCGTTGTGGTTATTTTTTTCGCTCAATGAACGTTTTCAGCTTAACAAAAAGAATTTATATAAATAATTCAAGTTTATATAATTTACAAATTATAAACATACGGAAACTGAGAAACTTACATGAACTTTCAAAACATCCTTGATAATACTATCCTTTGTTGTGATTCCAGCAGCATAGAAACCTTGTGCAAATCTTGGAGGATTATCATTAACATCATTTACCTGCAATGAACATAAGTTTAAATATAATTTAGCCTATTGTTTATAGATATAAGAAAAAGATGAACAAAAATTCATATAAATATTAAGTACTGAAAATAAAGTTTTTATTTAAAAAGTCTGGTTTTTCTATAGGCTATAGGACGTGTTTTAAGCTTTGAAATAGTGATTTGTCTATGAAGAGAAGTTCACTTATAAGAAACTAATACAAGTTTGTCAGTAACATTAACCCTATCAGGCCCTATCATAATATAGATTAGCCATAGATGTTAAACCTTTTCGACCTTAAGTTAACTTACTAATGACCTATAACTAATTTTATCAAAGAAATTAACTTTTACAAGTGGCCCATGTTAAGATATATTAAAGAAAGTCATTTTTTCAAATATAATATGTCAGTCCAACATTTCATTCTTCTAAATTCATTACTTCCTAGATACTTGCAAAATACCAAAGTTTTTCTTGATTTTCCGATACTTTGAATGTAGAGCGCCACTTCATAAATTTATTTTAATAATAGAAATAAAAAAGTGTACTGTTTGTTATACTTAAAGAGGATGGATCTTATAAAGAAATCCAATCTAATTTTTTGAAAAATAAAAACCACCCTTCAGGTACCACCGATTTGGTGCAGCAGAAAATAGTATTACATTGCCGTGTTAGTGGATAAATAATAATGGGAAAGAATAAGAAGTGTGGCTTGAATGAAGAGTAGAATACGATAGTAAAGATGAGATGAATACTATAAGATGGAGAGATTAAGATTTGAATATTATAGTAAAGATGAGATGAATATTATAAGATGTATACATTGTGACCGAAAAGTTTCCGGAAATTTTAAATAAAACGCAAAATTCTTAATCTTCATCAATATTTATTTTATCTCCTTCAAAATATGCTCCATTAGAAGCGATACACAAATGCCAACGTTTCTTCCAATCATCAAAACATTTTTTATAGGCGCTTTCCGGTATGGCTTTGAGTTCCCTCTGCGAATTCTGTTTTACGTCTTCTATGGATTCAAAACGCGTTCCTCTGAGTGGTAATTTGAGTTTGGGAAACAGGAAAAAGTCACACGGTGCAAGATCAGGTGAATACGGTGGCTGTTCGATGGTATTTATTGAATGTTTGGCCTTAAAATCGTTGATAATGTTGGCTCGGTGCGAGGGAGCATTATCGTCATGAAAAATCCATGAATTATCCTTCCACAATTGAGGCCGTTTACGGCGGATATTTTCACGCAAACGTCTTAAAACAGTCAAATAATAGGCTTTATTGACTGTTTGTCCTTCAGGGACGAATTCATGATGCACCACACCACGAATATCGAAGAAAACAATCAGCATTGCCTTGATTTTCGAGCGACTTTGGCGTGGTTTTTTCGGTTTCGGCTCGTCTTTTCCTCTCCATTCCGATGATTGTTGGCTTGTTTGCATGTCGTACTCGTAGACCCATGTCTCGTCACCCGTTATGATGCGTTCCATGAAAGTTGGATCGGAATTGGCACGATCAAGCATGTCTAACGAGACCTGTCCACGATGGTGTTTTTGGAACAAATTGAGGTGAATCGGAAAAAGCCGAGCGTTGACACGTCGCATACACAAATTGTCCACCAAAATCAAACGAGCCATCTCACGACCGATGCCTAGCTCTCGTGCTATCTCTCTAACACTCACATGAGGATTTTTGAACACGATTTCCTTTGCCTTTTCAATGTTTTCGTCGGTGGTAGAGGTCGAAGGTCGTCCAGAACGCGGCATGTCTTCGACGGTCGTACGACAGTCCTGAAAGGCTTTGTACCACTCATAAACTTGAGTTTTCGATAAAACTGATTCCCCATAAGCCTTTTGTAGCATTCGCAACGATTCTGCACACGAAAATTCGTTCGAAACACAAAATTTGATGCAAACTCTTTGATCAATATTTTTTTCCATTGTTTTTTTCGCAACGCACTACTGAGGTGAACTGGTTTCAACAGCTGCCGTAAACGAACTGTCCTGACAGATCGCGCTCATTTTTGGCATAGTAATTAAGGACAGTGCTGCCAAACTACATAAACTTAAAATATCGAAAAATATACAGCGCGCGAATTTTAAATGAGAATTTCCGAAAACTTTTCGGTCACAATGTACATTGATCCTAATTCATGTCATGGTTAAGAAATTTCCTCACTAAAAAGAAACTAATTTTTTGTATCCGTCAAGATGGAAGACGAGTTTTTTTTGTGATAGCGAACTATTTAACTTATTAGTTTATTGTGGCATAAGTCAGCAAGAATATTGTTTAGTTGCCGTGCGAAATCGTTTTTCTCGCTTAGAAACGAGAAACGAACATTTTTAAAAATAAGATTGTTTGGAAGCTACATCTTCGAAGATAATATTATATTAGGAGTTTTGGTATGAAAGCCCTCATCAGTTATTAGTGACAAAATTGATGCAATTGTTGCTGTTATTATCTACTTATTAAACAAACGAGGAAATGAAGTTATTAATATAATAACCATCTTCTTGACGCAGTTTAGACAGCCGGTCAAATCTGCACCCATTGAATTTTATAATTTTTTGGATTTATTCCAGTATTCAAAAATTTACGGAGGGTATCATTAAATAGTTTACTGAGGCTATTAAGAAAGACCTACATACAGACCTATATAAGTAAACCTGCAATTTGCATGCAAGAGACACTAACAGTGTATTTGTGAACGACTAATTATTGAAGACTAGAACTTTTTGAGTAATGACTTATACTACAATTACCTATAAATAAATAGAGAAAGAAAACTTTGTGTGCGTAAGTTTAATAGATAATTGTAGCCGTTATAAGTAAATTAGTAAAAACTAATTTCTATACTCTCATATTCAAACAGTCAAGTTTTACTTTAGATGTAAATACATTTATTTATTGGGTTGACAATAGAGTTATTTCGGATCTTGCTAAATATTCATCACCATTGGCTATTGGGAATACGTTTGGTTGTAATTTTCTGTATATAATTATAAATTACAATTGCCAGACAATGAACTCTGTCGAGTTTAAAACGCAGAATCAAGGTTCAATGGTTAGCACATATATACCCTAAGATAATACACATAATATTTAAAAGTAATCAATTTTATCAAACAATGCTGATGATAGATACTTGCAATATCCAAAACAGCGGTATGGTCAGTCTAAAAAATTATTTTAACTAAAAATTAATTGCATTTTACCATTATTAAACAATTTTATGCTATATATAGAAGACTTTGAATTTACATTTATTATTATATCCATTGTGTAATTGACACTATTCGGATTTGAAATAAGTCCATTTTCATTGTTGGTCACTTTTATACGAAGTCTGTAAATTTCTATAGCTTCACGATCTAACATTTGAACTAATTTCAAAACACGGGTTTCCTTATTCAATTGAAACAGCTCAGCATTTTCCGGGATGAAAGTTTCTGCAGAAGAAAATATAATACGGGAATATTATTATTTTATAAATTATACATTGATTTAATGTTATTAACAAATACAAAAAACTTTGTTTGATAAAATATAACTATTTTAATTATAGAATAAAGTAATAGTGTTGCTGTAAAGCTAGACTTACTTTGTATAGTGACAAAGAAGCCCTTCTAAAAATTTAATAAAGCTTCTTTGTCACTATACAAAGTAAGTCTAGCTTAACAGCAACACTAATACTTTATTCAAATATTAGACTTGTGAAAAGTAAAGAACAATATGTTAAAATATAATATTGTTCAGCTTTTCCTAACCGCAATAAGCGGATTTGTAGAATAACATAGCATAGCTTCTTTGTAAAAAGCACCAGAATGGTTGCTTTACATATAGTAAGTAAAAAATATGCAGTACAATATGTCTCTACAAAAAGAGTAGCTTTGAAAAGAAATAAAGAATAAGGCAAACCCAAAAAGTTAAACTTTCAATTCGTTGAACTTGTGTTTCCAAAATAAAGCTGTAGTTTATAAGCTCGTTCTAATTTAAAGCACGGCAAGTGCTTTGGTTGTTGTCACTAATTAAATAAAAATAAGTGACAATAAAACCTGGAACTTGAGCATTGAAAGTTTGTGCAGCCTTGGCTTCTTGTGGATAAACACGATTAGTCATCGCTTCTAATTTGACAGGCACGAGTTCTAAGCCTGGCACTTGCAGTCCAAACAAATTATATACGGACTATAAACTAATTAAATAAAATTCGATTATTTCCAAAGACCACTGATGAAGAGTACTTGGCAATACTCGAAACAGCGTTGTATGGTCAGCCGAACTTCAATAAAATTAAAAAATAAATTTTTGTGTTTGTACTTTATTTCTTTCTTTGTTATTCGAAAACCCTTCTAAATATTTTAATTATAGTTAATAAATAAATAAAAAAAATTTACAAATAAAATTTTTGGAATAAAGTTTTTTACCATCAATAAAATAATAAAGTTTATAGGGTTCCTCGTCTAAATTTAGACCTTCGTTTTTGGGGTCAAAAGCTTCTGGGATCAGTCGTTCCTCTGTCAAACCATCATCATTCTCTACAAAATTGTAATGATTTTTATAAGCTTAGCACATAAATATATATTGTTAGTAAATTTTAGTAGCAGTTTATAGCTCCAAAAAATATTAGTCGAATTTGGAAAAGAACCGGTCAGAAATAGAGAATATATTTCGAAATTTTTGTAATACATATTTGGTCTCTTTTACATTTTATCTTCGTTTATATATGGCTTATGGTGTGTATTGTAACCAAACGCTGACCGATTAAAAAACTAGAATTCAGCATTTCTTTCTGGTTTCAATATGCAAGTAAATGTGAATACTGATGTATATCCGATGGATGGGCTTATTTTATTATAATTTTTTTATTTTGTTTTAAATTAACTCTTTAAATAATCATAAATAAATAATATAGTTATAAAAAGCAACAAGTTACAAAAGATCTAATTTGAAAATAACAAAGTTAAAGCAAGTTTGTCCATTCAATTATTTCGACAGTTTGAGACCAGAGGTAGCAAGGCTTATGGTGCTTAAGATGACGTACGACTTTTAGTGACATCAGTACATTCGATACAGTTTTTGTAAGATAGCAAAGTTTCGATGAGTGCCGCTTGATAATTCGATTAAGGCCTTTTTCTAACGTTGTTATACCAACATCACGATGAAGATCATAATTTCTGATTTTCAAGTATTCGCTTAGGGGGTTTAATTACTACCAATATAAAAATCATATATCTGACGCTTTAATTAGTGAAACTTCAATTGTTCAACTTGTCTAGAGTTTGCAAATAGATTAATATGTTAAACGTTGCCGAAGGTCTGTGAGTCATCAAAAAATTCAGTTGAATAAACCGTTTTATATTAAGACCTGTTTTTTATAACGTGGGTGATACTGTTTACATGGTCCAGCATATACTTAGTTGAGTAATATTTTATTGAAATGATAATGTATTTGAATATAAGACAAAGTCATTACTATAACATATTATGGTCGATATATAAATTATATTATATTATAGTATATATAATCAATTATATGAATGGATGAATTGTATGAATATTTATTAAAGGAAAAATTAAATATAATGCCTGGAAGTTTATTTTGCAAACAATAATCTTTGCTTTAATATTATGAGTCCACGATTCTTTTCTAGAAGGTTTCATAATTAATAATCACAAAATAATTGAATTTATTTACCAGTAAAATTTGTATAAAACTCTCTTTCCAAGAACATAGGATTTCCTAACATATCCACAAAAACAATTTTTAAATTGCGAATATCTTCAGAAGAACTACCGCCGCCATCCGTAGCTCGAATGTTCAGCTATGTCAAAGAAAACATTAAAAAAATATATTTAATGTTATTAATTATTTAATATTAATATTTAAATCATTTTATCATAAATTAAACGTACATAGTAGATACCAGCTGGTACTAATTCTTGCAAATAGAGGCTTGATTGATTGCGACTGTTTTTTGACAATTGAAAATATTTATCATGACCCACTAAAACATGAGTTCAGAGTTTATAATATTAGCGTGAGAAGAACTTACATAAAACTAACCATCGCTACTGAGTAGAAAGTTTATATCACCGTATTCTCCACCATCTGGATCAAATGCCTCAAAATGGGGTAAACGACTTACACAGTCTGCTTGAAATAGTGGACGATTAGGTTCTTGTAAAGAATGACTTCAGCAATAGCACCGATAATATATCCATAATTGAAATGCAATAAAATATAAATTGTATTAAATAAATATATAAATATTTAAATAATTATTATTAATAAATAATAATATGAATTCTTTACCATAAACGTATAGTCTTATGTAAAACTGGGAAAATAATTGTGGGAGCATGAAAATTATAAGGCCGCACAAGTATCTCATACTTAGATGCATTTCGTAGCGTGGGTGTACCGTGATCAAATGCTTCAATTTCAATTTGCCAGATACCATAAAATCCTTTAAGCGGTTTGAGACTTGTAAGTTGGCCATATGTTCGGTTGTCGCCAATAATACCGAAAAGATCCTCATATCCAATTAGATTATTGGCATTGTCACCGACTTTGAGAGAAAATAAATTAGAATAATTGGAAAAAAATATTAAAAGATTATGAAGTAATTAACATCATAAAAATTATCATTGTTTTATAATGTAAGAGAAGATTTGACAAATAATAAATTGTGGTTTTAATTCCATTTTTACCTGATCTTATATCCAATATCTTGTAGGATAACCATGAATTGCTTGTATTATATTCATCCTTGTCTTCTGCTATAAGCTGAATTTTGCTAAGGGTATCCTAATAATTGTCATATGAAAAAAAAATTCTTTTAATGAATTTATATAAAAGTTTATTTGAATATATTTATTAAATTTATAATATATTTTATAAAATAATAAAAGCAAAACAAAGAAAATAAATCATAGTAAAGGGAATTCTTAAAGGCAATTATGTTGAAACTTTTTTAGTAATAACTTGGTTTTTCAATAGTAGTAAATCATAACAACAAAATTTCATTTTCATTTTTTTTGTAGAGGTACTACTTATTATGTAATTTGCATTCTTCTTTGGATGTAAATCAATTTAATTAGTTAATAATTCATAAAAATTCATAAAAAATAACTAATATTGTAGTACCGAAATATATATGTAAATATGGCATTATATTGATTTATTATTCTTAAAATAGGTTACTTTAAAACCTCAAAGTTATTGAAAGACGAAGCGATCTTTATGACTATTTTATTCATCCTTTCGCTCTAAGAGATGACATTACATTAGCATATATTCATTTCATATATATATTTCATTTTAAGTAATCTTTAATATATAAATTAAATAAAAATATATGACTGTGAAGTAAAAGTTTTAAGTATGCTTTGCAGTTGGAATTATATATATTGATTTTGGTGACAAACGTCCCTTTCGTTTTAAAGAAATAAATAAATTCCGTATTCTTACATTTGAAGGTAAAAGGAAAGATTTTTAACAAAAGTATGGATGCTCAGGTAGTTTTAGTATTTAAGAAGTTTAGTATACTTTAAAATCTGAAAGATTATGAGAAAAATAAGAATGATATATTAAAATTTTTTAGAAAAATGGTTCTCAAAGGACATAGCCTATATTAATAAATAATATCGTTACTTCCACACTTCAATATAACATACAGTAAGACTCCGCTTAACGTCTCGGATACATTCCATCAGAGTAGAGCGTAATGCGAAATATCGCTAAACGAGGCTATGTTAACATGTAAATATTGGGGTTAGGTGAATATTGATAGAAAATTGCTTAGGTATTAAATTTAATAATTAATTTTTTTTTAATAATAATAGAATCAAATATTTATTTGTCAAGAAGGCATCTAATGTAGATTGCGATTTTTCTTTTGCGTTCTGTTAGAAGCTGCTTATAAGTGTATAAAGCATCTATAACACCCCGTCTTGCTTTTGAACTCCTGCCAAAATTTGGATCAATTTCAACAAATTGGTCCAAAATTTCAGTTGTAGTGGTCAAATTCCTTTTCACAAACAATATCGAAAGTTCTTTTTGCTCTTCTTCGAAATCACTACTATCAATATTGTTGTTTTCTTCTTACTCAATTAATTCCTTGAGCTCATCATTAGAAAAACTATCTGCTGTTTTTTAAACTATTTCTTTGACGTCTTCCACTTTTGCCTCATCTAAACCGGTTTGTTTCGCTAATTCCACTATTTCTATCACTATATCATCCATATCGACAGAGGGTTCAATGTTTTCGCTCTTACTAAAATCTGGTCAAATGTTCTTCCATACTCTATTCAAAGATCTTTCTGTTATCTCATTCCAAGAAAGGTTTATGTTTTCTACAACATTCATGATATTGTAGGTTTTCCAAAATTCTTTTATTGATTGCTGTTTTTTTCGAACATCTGCTTAAATTTTCGTGTTGAAATAAAAGAGTGCTAAACCGAAACAGCGTTAAACGAAATAGCATTAAGCGGGGTCTTACTGTACTTTGTGTGCTTACAATCTTTGTCCTAACATAAAAATAAAGTAATAACATGAGGAACTTTTGTTCCTCATTGGCATTTGTGCCAATGTCAATCTTTCCTCCATAGATTGGCATTTGTGATTTAAATTAATGAAAAGACAATAAACAGTTAAAAGAAATTATTAATTCAGAATAAATAAATATTAATTTAATATTTGTTGATTTTTTTTCCTTACCTGAATTAGTTAATATTGAAAATTTTAATATCATTATAATTTATATACTCCATGTTTCAAATTAGCTTATAGTAAGTATAGCTTATAATAAGGCTCCCTTAAGATTTATTTGTAATTAAATTTAAATAATGAGTAAAATGGATATATAATATTTGGTATATATATATATGTCATTTAAATTATTACTAAATAATACCTTTGTATCGGACTCGGAAAATTCAGGTGAAAATAAAAATTTTGCTGGCATTATAGGTGCATTATCATTCACGTCTAATAAACTAATATTCAAAAATGTTGAAATCTGGTTAACAGCTATAATAAGGAAATATACATATTAACTTAAAAAAAATAAAGGTATGACTAACGTCCATAACCACGATTATTGAAATTGAAATTATCTTTTACATCAATTGGTATATAGTGGTAAGTGATGCCATTATCTCGATCTAAATGAAGTCCATTCCGCAAGTTTACTTTCACAATTCCGGTGGTAGCATTGATTTCAAAAAGATTATGAATATCAGATATGGCACTACTAATTGAAAATTCTAATGCATTGTGTGGAACTATAAATAAAAGAATAATATAAAACAAAATGAAACAAAATATAATAAATTGGTTAAGTTAGGATGTCATCTCCAGAAATTAAGATTCATATATACAGAACAGATTCGTTGTTTTATTAAAAAGAATAAAACAACAAACAGCAATGGAGAATTAGGAATCATTTTTAAACTTTGGAGTTTAAATATTGCTTTGAGACTGCGAGAATGAGAATGAGAGAAAGAGAGAAGGAGAGAGAGAGAGAGGAACAGGAAGACTGAGACTTAGATAGCTCGTTTACAAGTATATTATGTTAAGTTATATAAAAATAATGGAGTAAATATAATGGACCTTCTTTATCTGTATAATATAATTTTAAAAGAAGGGTTTTGAGCTGCGGCTGCTGTTACTAATACTTCTTTAATATTATAAAATAATTTGTTATTTATTTTAAATATAAAATAAAGCAGTGTTGTGTATAAATTGTAGTTCATATCAAATAAAATAGTAACTATTCTTGAATGTCCAATACAGTAAGAACCCCGATAATCTGGATGAATTGAAATTGAGGAAGTCATATTAAAAATACAGGAAAAGTTTAAAGTGTATTTATATACAAACTTAACAAAAACTGAATTCAAAATAAAAAATTATCCACTGCTCATTGAATGGATTAATTCAATGCCTTATCCACTGCTCATTGAATGGACTAATTCAATGCCTTGAATTATTTTTTGTTATATTAGGATTACGCAGGATTAGATTCCGGAGGTTGGGAGTAGTGGAGATTTACTAAATATATTTAATTATGTGATAAATAATTATAAGTAATTGGCCGCCATTGTTTTTATTTGACATTTTTTTTTAAAAATAGTTATGTGTTTGAATGGTCATTCAAACTTTGAAATTTAAATTTTTTATACTCCTTAGATGAACTTACAGTCCCTGTCACGATCAAAAGCCTTAATTTGTCCCACAATTTCTCCAGTTGTAGCATTTTCATATATCTTCACCTGCTGTTCAAATGCATCCTTTTCAGGTACACGATTGTTAATATCGATTATGCTTATATTGATCTGAAAATGGAGAATCTGATTTTAAATGTCCTCTGTGTGTTTATTTTATAGAAAAATAAAAGATAAAAATATAAATCAGATAATTAAACTGACCATAATATAGCTATGCTATAAAGCTATATAAATGTAAGCATAATATAAAATTTCACTATACAATTATTAAAAAAATTGGTTTTAGTATATATAAACTGATTACAAAGACTTCTAACCTAACTAACTACAGAAATTGATACATGAGTATTTATATTAACTAAAGTAACTAAACTAAATAAAAAACTAAAGAAATAACTAAAAAATGTATATGATAACTAAAATATTCTTATTGACCTTTCCTATTGTGGTATACACTCCATCGTTTAAAATAATTTCATATTCTAAAAGAAAAATCCGTGGAACATCACATTGTATACTTCCATTAACACGCAAGACACCGGTTTCATTATTTATACTAATAAGATAGTTTTCCGTTAAATTTCCAATGGATCTAAATATTACATAAATATAAAAAAAATAAAATACTAATTATTATTTATCAATTCATGAAACATTCATTATAAAATAAATTAATCTTATTAATTTTAATAAAAAATACTATTTATACAATTTAATGTAACCTTAAGTCAAAAGTAAAATTATTATTGCCTGGTCCATCTATATCGAAAGCCTCTATTGAACCTATTAGTAAATAAACATAACATTTATAAAACATTTTATTAATTATATATATATTCGTTATTTACCAATTACAGTTGATATTGTCTCCATTTCTGTAACTTTACGCGGTTCTTCTAAAGTACCAGATCTAAAATTTGGTGGATTATCATTCGCATCATCGACACGTATGGTTAATACAGCTATAATTTGAAAATCGACATAAAGATATAATAGTATCATTTATATAATATTTAGTTATATGTTTTCTTACGTTCATATAAGAGATATCTATAATTAGGCTATCTTAAATGTTTCCTCATATACATACAATTTTATAATTACCGTTTTTGTAAGTTTTATATTGAAATTATTCTAGGTTTGATCAACTTACTAAGACCAATAATGTCTGTTTCGATAAATACAAATATTTTGCATTAGCAGCTAATATTCGGTATGTGATAATTTATGGGAAACAACTTACATATCAGATGTAATAAGTCTCCACATTATTTAGAAATAGTGTGACTATATTAAATAAAGTAAACATCCTGGAAACAATATAGGCCGAGAAAACTCAAAGCAAAATATAAAAGTGTGAAGTCTTCACTATCTTTAGCGCGGTCTATTTATGTTTTACGTTAATGCTGTAAATTAATTAAGATCTAATTTATAGGACAAAATGTTCAAATATTTGAAATTAAAATGTACGCAGCCAAACTACACTAGTTCCCTTGATTGAAACCGGATTTTGTAACACTTACAAACATACATTTTTCTTCGTTCTTCTACGTAGAGATATTCAAGATGTCAAATTTGTCATTGAAGTCAATTGAAAACGCACAATTAAACATACAAAGATTCTAATTAATGTACTTAGCAAAATTGAATATAAAAATACTTTTTTTTAGCTACGATCTCCAAAAAAATACTTGTAAGTATTGTACTTGTAAGTAAGATTTTGAATGTATCGAGTCTTTCGACTTTACTGGTCGAAAAGGTCCTTAAATCACTATGCAGTTAGATGAATCGTTTTTTATATATTATATGTTTTTAAACTTCTTCGATGATAGATCGATGTTTTTGCACAAAGAATACGAATTCTTGAATATGGGTTTTCTAAGTGTGAAATTTATCTACCGTGAATTACTCAACAAGAATAATTTTTAAAAAGCAATCCTGTGTATCCAGAGTCAATCAGCAATGATCTCTAATAATATTTTCTCAGCCCCTTGAGATAGTTTATTTACTTACCAATTACAGTGTCCTCATTTATTTCTTGATTAAGGTCTCTTGCTCGAATAGTTAAAAATATAGTGTCATACTTCTCATAGTCCACTTGAGCTTCAAATGCAGGATTCACACGGAGTAGACCATTTAAAACATTTTTACTCTCCGCTTCAGATTCAATCAATAAAGAGCTTTAAAAGAATGATTTCAAAATAGAATTTAAATAAGTTTTTAAATGATATTTCGTGTTTATTACTTTATAAATAGCTCTGATTGTACTTCTTGGCCACTTTTTGTAGCATAGGTAGCGTTCCATAGAATTTCAAGTGTTAGATTTGCTGTAGTATCAGCATCACGTACCTCGATTTTATCGGTTAAAAGTGTGGAAGGTGCAGCGTTCTCTGTTATATTAACTATAGCTCGAGGCTATGAGATATCATATTAAATCATCAAAACATCAAATTAAATTAAATATATAATAGTTAGTATCAGGAGTGTTATTAATCAAGTAAATTTTTAGAACAAATTATGTATAAAATGGGTTAGTTAAATAGTCATTAAAGGACTTTTGTGCATTTTTTATATATTTATATATGATATATTATAATAAATCGCGTTCTTACCATTCTTAATTGAGGGGTCTCATCATTAACATCAATTATATTAATGGTTAGTTGTGCAAATACTGTGTGTAGGGTTTTTGAGTGTTCTGTTATCAAAGTGTCCTTTGCCTGTATTTGGACCAATACAGTAGTTTGCCTTTCATAATCGAATACATTATCATGACTTGTGAATATTACACCTGCCTGTGTATTTATTTCTAAACCAGACATATTGCCGACAATAGAATGACTGAAATTTAAATTATACTTCTTTAGTATGAATAGATATTGCACAACATCACACATACTTAACTCTATCACCAAAGTCACGATCTCTTGCATAAATCTGTTTCAGAAATGTCCCTTTTGTAACATTTTCCATTATATTTACTTCATATGAGTCGAACATGAATATAGGCCATTCATCGTTCCAATTTATTAGTTCAATCCTTAAAGTACGGTTTGACCTGCGAGCTGAGTTTTCGACTTCTTCTGCACATATCTTCAAGAGAAAAGTAACATTATTAAAATTGAGCTAAAAATTAGTTAATAATTTAATATTCTTTATTAAGAATTTTATGTTTTATGAGAAGATATCTATTGTGAATAGAAAATGAAATAATTAGAAAAATTTCAAATCCAAAGAAAATTTACATAAGTACAGATGTTTCAGATATAACCAACTACTCATTGTTATTGCACTTTGGAAACATTTAGTTTAATTGTTCATATATATTTTTTTTCTGAATCGTAAATTTCAAGAATTGCACGTTAATACCCAAAACCAACGTACACCTAAATTGCATTATTCAAATTTACAGTTTTATCACTTATTAGAACGCATAAACCGCAGCTATACAAATTTATTTATCCATTAAAATTTGTTGTTTTTTAAAGTAGTTGTAAATTAATATAAACAATACTTTACCATTATATCAAAATTTCGCCATTCCTCTGTTTCATAATCTAATTGATCTGCTTTTAGTACTGTTAAGGAAAAATTAGTTTGCTGATAGCCTGAATTGGGTACCAGAGAAAAAGCCTCTGAGTAAGATATGCCATTAGTTGTCATTAAGTAAGCTTTATACGTAGCATTTATCCCCTAGATAATATATATTAATTATTCAAAAGTTTTTAATTAAAAGTTTAATATTATATATAACGACAATATATCTAACATAGAATAGAAGTATAATTATTTCAATATATTTTTTCTATATCATTTTATTGACTTAAAATTATCCTAAAAAATGTATTTTAAAGCTACCAAGTTATTGAGCTGAAATCAATACAGGTTAATAGTGAAGAGGGATTGCTACTATCTATTGATAAACGTTAGATTATATTAAATTTACCTAATAACACAATGGATAGATACATAGAATCATATATATACTTCATAAATCAAACCAAATGAAAATTGTAATTAAATACTTTAACATGTTTGGCATATTGCATTCCCATTCTTTTATATTTGCAAGGTTTATAGGGATGAGACAACAAATAAACTCAAAAAACGCCAAAAATCTTCAATTTAGATAAATTAGAGAAATGTCAAATATTTTTAATTAACTAAATTAATAAATAAAATAAAATAATATTAAAAAAAATGTATATAGAGATTATATTTTATTACAACGTCTTAAATGAAGAAACTAATATATTGATTCAGTAAATTTTCATTCATAAAAACATAATATCTTATGAAAATATATATATATACATTATATATATCATTATATTATACATTATATATTAACTAATGAAATAATATATATCTCATACAGTCCTAAAAGTAAAGTATAAATCTTATTATTTTATTTCGGTCTTACGACCTAAAGATATGTTAAAATAATTAATAACTAATTATCAATTGATTAATATTAATTAATTATTAATATAAATTAAATATTAATTATATATTAATTAATAAATATTAATTAATAATAATTAATTTATTTAAAAAAATTTATAACATTACCTACCAAATCAATATCTTCAATAATAAATTTGTCCATTGGTAATGTTAAGTACTTCTGCTCTAAAATTTGTACGAGATTTGGTTCCATAATGATTTCTGGTATATGATCGTTTATGTCTTGAACGATTAAAATAGTTGTATTTTTTATAAACCATGAGGAATTATCACATTTATATGCACAGGTCTAGAAGTAAATATTATTATATAGTATTAATTATAAACATATATTTAGATAATTTTATATTATTTGTGTAAATATAAGCTTTACATTTTTTTTTGAAAAATTTTGTTTTTTAATATAAAATGTTTACATAAAAATTAAATATTTGTTGTTGTAATATATCTCGATCAATTGGAACAACATGTAAAACCCCTGTAGTTTCGTTAATGCTCATTAGTTCAGAATCTGTGGAAAAAATGATTTAATAAATTCATATAGAACCTTGGGAAAGTCTCAGAGTTCACTTACAGTCCTCTTCAAACTCTAAACGATAACAAATAGGCTTATTTATTCCCGTATCTCCATCAATAGCATTAAGTGTGAAAAACTGAAATACAGACGAAGGAATTATAATAAGGTTTGTTACCAATTTAGGAAAAATAGTTAGAATTCTTAATAGGAATTAAAATTATTGTGTATTATAATTATAATAATAGTAGTTGTATAAAAATTTTATATAAAAATATATCATACCTGTTCTTGTTTCTCATCAAAAGTTGCGGTTGTAAGTGGTCGCACCCAAATTGGATCTCGATTTGGCAGATCAATCACCTCCAATATTGCAAATATATTACCTGTATTATTACTGGTATCATGGACACTTACATCCAAGTTATAGACAGCACGTTCTTCATAATGCAGTGGTTTTTTTATTCTATTGAAAATATGATTATAATTATTTTTTGTGAATTTGAAAACTAAGTAAACTTAGATTCAGCGATTGCGAACAACTACGCCGAATTTGAAACGTACGTAACACCGTAACATTATTATAAATTCAGCCCAGAAAAATATATATTTTTATTGCAGTTATTGCATTTACGTTAAGGACTTTTCACTTATACTTTATTTATTAAAATTTTTCATATTTTTAATAAATACCTTAATTTGTATTCTTTCTCGTAAGTCCTCGTCTCACCGAAATCTTCAAAATCAAATATATCAGCTTCATTATATTGACCATTAACCTGAATACGTAATATATTTCGGTCCATACCGTCCGCATCATAAATTGTAAATATGCAATTCGTTATGAAATTGGTTTGCAGTTCCTGAACATAATAAAAAAAATGTTTTTTTATAATATCTACAAAAAAAAATAATATGTTTTTTATATAAAGTTCTCTTAAATTCTTTTCAATTAATTAAAAATCAAATCTACATCTTTTTAAATAGGTTAACTCACCTCTACGCGACATGGAGATGGATTGTATGTTACTGATGGCTTATTATCAAATATATTTTCCAGTGTTAGGAGAATGCCATGTTCCATTAGCTCATCAGCATCATCTTTTATATAAATTTGAAAAGCATAAATGCGTTGATTAGAATTTTCAAAGTCTTGTCGTTTTTCGATCGTAACAATCCTTAGGTTTGGTTTAGAAATAAACAAAAAAAAAACAAATTAAAAGAGTTTTGATGATCCCTTATAGGCTTATTAATAATTAATAAAAAAGCAGATATAATATTAGTGAACCGCAAGGTTTTTTCTTTCTTACAACTAATTTAATCAACTCATCTCACGTAAAACTCCCTTTATATTCGCAATGCGATGTTCTAATGCGATACATATAGAAAAATTCCGCTTGTTAAAGTACTAAAACCTTGGTGATTGTATCAAGCAAACCAGACGTCAAACACTCTTTTAATTTCCTGATTTATACCAGGGCTAAAATTACAAGCATCGATGAGTAACTACTTTCACTAGTACCTCCTTATGAGTTTTATTGCATTAGCACCAGATTTCTTGGACTTAATTCCAACTACAGGGTAAACGTCTCTTAATAACTCCCTCTCTATTTTGTTGAAGTATTATATGTGCCTTTTAATATGTTAACATCACGTTTTACAGCCAACAGTATGATTTAAAATTTATACTTATTAAATTGTGATTTCACAGGTACCCAACCCTCCTCATCTATCTAACCTTTTCACTTCGTCACAGTTCTTAATAAAAACTTAATGCGCTAAATTCTATTTATTTATTTTTAAAAGTGCTGAGGTTATGGGTAGATCAACATATATGCGACAAACATTACAAGATAGATATGTAATATTCTGATATGTAATATTTCTACAACTACGTTCTCTGATGTTTTCTCTATAATATCATTATCATTTAAGTATACCTTCTCAAGTTTGTGTAAATAAAATAAAATAGTTTATTTAACAATATTATTAATAAATTAACTATTTAAAATTATATAAAACAATTACCAGTCGTCATTTTCTGCAGTTATTTTGGCACCTAAGAGACTGTTATCACCAATATCAAAGGATCCCAAAGTTGGTGTACCACTGCCTTTAAATGATAGTACTTATATTTAATATTTAATATATTTTGTAAAAAGTTACCTTGATAATTAATTTTAAGCAATTGAAATGGCCAACTTAACTCCTCTCTAACATTAATCTTTTGTACACCCACTGCAGTTTGAAAACTGACGCCATCAGTATTTGTCTCCAAGAAATATGGAGACTGCCACGCTATATTAAATTTTTTTATTAAATTTCATCAAAATATATACAATGGAGTAATATATGATATATATTATATATAATGTAATGAAATTGGTATGGTTATGCAATGAAATTAAATATTAAAAAAAATTATATGTTTTTATGATTAAATAAAAGTAATAAATAATAACATTCCATCGATTTACAAAAACCTTCTATATAATTGGAAAGGATGGATTCATCTTTTATTTAAATAAATTATTCAGAGTACAAAAACTATATTTGAGATATCAAAAAATATTTAAAAAAGTTTTTAAATTTTTTGGACACTCTTGCCATATTTGAGAAAATGGATTAGTATTTTCCATTCCCTGCTCCAACAGAATTGTCAATTTCGGAGATGAAATTGTATTTTATGTTCACAATATATTATATATGTTATGTTTATATGTATTAATATGAATATTATTTAAGTTAGTTGCATATTGGTTATGTCGAAAATTTTAGGTTTATATTAATTTTAAGTCTATTATTTGTAAAAAATGCTCTATATTCTTCATTAAAATTCTTAAGTTAGGTAGAAGGGTGATTTTGGTATAAATTTCGCTTAGAATCTTGTTATATGATCTCTTCTTTAGCGATTTAGTATTCTAAGCAGTGAGGGTTATTATGATATGTATATTTCTGATTTAATAGTTTTCGTTTTAAGAGTCCAATCGTTTCAATCAAGTTGTTTTGTATTTTGATAATTCATCAGAGTTCTGATGTCCTTTTCTAATAGTTTTTCGGGGTATTCATTGAACTATCAAAATTGAAGATGAAGTTTTTGTAGAACACTTGTTTTAGGTATTATAAAGTTTTTTGTATTATTAATATATATGTATTATTTCTATTTATAAAACATTACTCCATCAGTAAAACAAATTACTTTCAATTATTTCAAATAGCTAAATATCTTCCATATTTAAGAACAAGTCAATGAAAAGTTAGCGAAACTTGCAGATGACTGTGACTTGCAACACGATATGATGATGTTGAAGTTTTAGTTATTATTTATGTATTATTATTAGAAAGGCGGTCACAAATTTGTTGTGATTGTAAGTATTTATAACGGTATTATAATTACCTGATTCTGTAAGTATAATTTGTGATACTCGTATGATCAGATATAAAAGTATCTTTGCTGAAACCATATTTTTTTAGTCACAATATTTCAGCTTATACAGCTACGTTACAAATTTTATTAATATTAAAAATTTTATTATTTTAAAAATATATAAATTTTTATTCTTCACTTATTCATTATTTATTTATTTTTTTATACTGAATAATTTTTTTTATTTTATTAATTTTGAGTTTTATAAAAATATGGTCCTTTAGTTAGTATTTTCATGAATTGTTTTTAAGTCAGACCTTAAATATATTTTATATACATATACAATAATATTATTTTTTGTAAATTAAACTATTAAACCTGTATCTATTCGTTATTTTACATCTCATCGTATTTAATTTTTTTTTTATATTAAAATAAAAGATATTCTTTTATTAGGCTACAAATCTATCAATGTTTCAACATAACCAGATGATATAGCCATTATAATAACTAGTAAAATTGCAGCTGCAGTATTATATTTTGTAAGCTTAATTTAGGAGTGATCGTCTATGTGAAAAATAGAAGTCAACATTTAAAAATTCGGGTTCAGCAATTCCACTATATGAAATTGTCAAAGACTTGGGAATATATGCGAACCGCAGGCTTTATTACAAGACCGAGTAGTTGTAAGCAGTGGTCCCCATAATTTTACGTTGACTGCGCTCAACAAAACTATGTGTGATCAAAAAAACTGAAAAAATACATATGTATATTAGAAAGGTTGAAAAGAAGAGTGGGAGGGGGTGTTGGGTATTGCAGTTGTTTTTGAAGATACAACTAACAAATTTATTTTTGTCATAAATACTCCTGAATATCAACCTTTGGTACTAGCAGCTTCAAAAAAATTGCAAATAATTAAATATATGAAATAATTTTAAGACCAGTGATGATGTATATTTAGCAATACTTGTTACAGTTGTATAGTCAATTCAATTAATTAACTCGATTTAATTTAAAAATAATAAAAAAAAATTTTTGTTGTTGCAATTCACTACTCTTCGATAAAAGTCTATCTATTGAAAACAAAACTTTATATTCAGAATTAAAATTCTGACGTTATAAATCGATTTCATATAATATAGGTATAGGTAGGTATAAATAATAGGAATATATACATAGGTGAACCCATTGTGTGCAAAATATAGAAACTGTGACATTCAAAAAATTACTGGACGGCATGAACGGGACAACTAGAACTATGTGGTCTAAGTGACGAATTTATTTAAACCTTTTTTATTCAACAAAATAATGCATTGATTAACACCTAAAGATACCGTTTGTAGGGGCGTATAAAATTAGCTTTTGTATAGCAAAAAGATCGAATGGGTTTCAGTTACTGGAATAGACTACTAACTAGAATGAAATATGTATAAGTAAAATTAGGTATTAATGAAGACCAACTTTTTCTGTAAAATTGACTTCTATCAGAAAATTTCCTATATGTTTTAAAAAGTTATTGCAAATTATATAATATACATATGTACATAATAACATAAACTGTATAATAAAATAAAAAGTAAGTGGTTTCTTTCCATTAAAAAATTTAATTAATTTAGTTAGTCAAAATTATTAAAACATTTCTAATGAAAAATTTAGAATGAAAATAATAATTGAAAAAATTCATTTATATTTAACTTAACATTCATTTGAACATCCTTTTGTAATCTGAACAGAAGTTCTATTTTCACTAAAAAAGTATTCGGTTTACAACAATAAAATATGGTTAGTGTTTTAAAATTTTTTACTGCTGTAAATTGATTTCATTAAGGAAGAAATAAGAAGAGACAAAAATTTACTGAAATGTTACTTTCAAATTCCTAACAGCGAGAAAGAGCAGAGAATCGGCTTTGTTACGGATACGTAACGTTTTCACTAAGAAAACAAATAGCTTAAGTTTCCAAATAGCCAAGTAAAGAGAGAAATAAAATAGAAACAACAACTTTACATGTCTCCCTTGATCAGAATATGTAGTTCAAATTACAACAACAATTTAATAATGAAAAATACAATTAAACAAATCAATGTGCAAATCCTTGCCTGACGGTAACACACTCATCTATAACGGTTTATATTATAATGAGAGCTCAACGCCAATATTGTTTTTGTTGTTTTTATCAAAGCAAATATTGTTTATGCAAATACAATAAGTGTTTAGTTGCGTTTATTTAATATTCATGAAGTGTCGTTTCTGTTTCTGTCGTTAAGCAAATTAAAGAATAGAGTAAAATTTAACAAAATTAAAAAAGTAAAATTTAATTTGAAGTTCAGTTTTAGTTTAATTCGATTATTTAAATTATAATTAAATTATATATTAGAAATATTTGAAAACCCAGAACATATGTATTTGTCATAATTTGTGAGAATTCTGAATATTAATAACTAATATAATTGAATGTTTTAATTTTTATTTAATTTGTTCAATTTATTTAAAGTGATTGTTTTATAAAAAAGTTTAATAAGTGCAAAAATCTAGTGCACAATACATCCAGCAAATAAGCTCGCAATATGAATTTATTATTTATAAAACACAACAAAAATAAATATATATTAATTTTTTTATATTAAATTCTTTTCGGGTATATTTATTCAATGAAGATTCAATTTTAAGTGTTAAACAATGTTCACAATTAAAGTGTAAAAACAAACTAACGGTTAAAAATACAAGAACTAAAAGGTCAAAAGGTTTTGTTTATATTCAGCATCGGCCAAAAAACCCACAAGAGCTTAAAAAAAGCGCAGCATAGACGTCAACGGCATTTAAATTCAAGTAAGTGAACAAAATAAGTTTTTTTGTTGTTGTTTTTGTGTGAACATTTAAACGTTTTTGTTACACGAAAAAAGGTGATGCCACAGAGAACAAATGATTATTTTATTTTAATTTAATTAAATTTATTATTTTAAAATATTTTTTTTAAATTTAATTAAATACCAATTTTTAACTTTAAATTTGAGTTTTTTGTTATATTAAAAATAAAATAAATAATTTTAGTGCTTAATGGTTTCATGCTTGGTTCAGAAAGCAATAAAATTGATATATAATTATAAAATATAAAAATCACAATTTTCTCTTTCATATAAAAATTTTCTCACACACTTAAGGTAGATTATAAGCTTGCAACTTAACCTAGAATATTGACTTCTCTTTTAGTGTCTGTACTCCTAGTGGGGCATAAGTGCCGTACAATATTAACTTGAATCATACTTAAATTCTCATATTTTTGTTATATAAATTTCTTTAAAAATATGTGTGTTCTGAAATAAATTTGTTTTGTTCAAATTGATAACTAAATCACAGTAAAGTTGGGAAACAGAAAATGTGATTCCCAATATACATATTGCAGAAGTGCATCAATTCACTCAGTTGTAGAACAGATTGAGAATTCCTTGAAATGTTCAGGAATTTACGCTTTAATTCTCTGGATAAAAATGGTATCTGCACTATTTTCTATCTTTAACGTTACATTTGTGTTACATTTGTTAGTTTTGGTGTAGACTAAGATGTTACAGAAATAACAAAAAGCATTCTAATATGCATAAGTTTACAATTTAAACGTAGCCTATATCGGAGACACTCTTTTGCCTTTTTTTGTTGTGAAAATTAACAATTTTTTCGACTAATAACAAAATTTAGCATGCCCATTTAGAATTTATTCTGGTCGCCTTTCTAAGAGGCAAACTTTTGAATATTTTTTCAAATCTTTTTCAAGAAGAACTGCCTAATATATCTAGATGGTGCCTGTATAGAAGATTGGTTATTGGTTTCTTCATGTGTGTTTTTTCTGGCAAGCATAATTCTAAAATTTCTGGGAATAATTTTGGAGGGAAAACTGAGTTTAAAGCAAATACCAAGTTCCGCATCCATATTAAATATCACATAAACTCTGAATATTCTAAGCTTTGTTACTGTTAAAATTTCTGTGGAAACACTACAACTTGTTTTCAATTTATTCTTTGTTTTTTCCGTGTTGATTTTCAGATCACCCGATATTGCCAATGCATTCAGGTGGTTTGTATTCGACTATTGTGTGGGATAGTTGACAGATGTCGTCTGCGAAGTGAAATTTGGAGTTCATGTCTGTGACTATTGGCGATAGCAAGCACATATCGGTTTAAAGGCAAAGTGCTTAAATTGCTTTGTGATAGTTCTCGTTAGTTTTCTTCTTTGTTTGCAGAGTTCTCACATGATGTCCTCTAGTACTAGAATGAACTTGTTTAAAAGTTGGAAATTAAGATTTGCATTTGTGTTGAATGTACTGCATTTGTAATTGGATTTATGAAAGAGTTCTGTTGTTAGAAGGACAATTTGAATGGAATTATTTGCAGCGGAAAGAGTAATATAATATTTGTGTTAAACCAATGGTATACCATATAGTAAGGCTATGAACAGCAACGGTAATTAAGATCTTCAAAAAATAATTAATTTTTATTTCTATACAGAATTTTTTTAAAAAAGAAAAGTACTTTGTACTTGAAAATAATCTTAAAAGTAAGGGCAATAAGTTCAGTAATATATTCTTAGTGCAAACAAGACAAAATTTAAGACAAATTAAAAATGGTCTTTTGTAAATCCAACTCTGGAGTTAATTCATTTGTCTGAAAATATTTTCTGTTAATTTAACTTTCAAAAAAACTTAATTAGCTTTTTATATGGTATCTTCAATGCTGCTATCTTTTTATGCTACCTTTTTATACTACTTTTTTATGCTGCTTTTTCATGCTTCCCTTTTATGCTAGCATTTAGTATTAGTTATGAGAAGTGGAGCACATGATAATTAGTTTAGATAAAGTCATTTAACTTGAACGACATTTTACATAAAGGAATTAGAGATTATCTTTGCTAAGCATTGTTAACGGTTGATTGCCATGGAAATTTTTTAGTTGAATTACTTATTTCCTGCTCATATAATTTTCTTGAGAAAAAATAATGCGAACATATATTCGAAATATAATATTTTATTATTGCTATATAATTCATGCACAAAACATTAAATTAAGATTTGATTAATTGTATTTAGATAAATATTCAGATTCATATTACTAGTTATCTTTTAATTATAGGTGATGTTTTACATTTTTAAAATAATTGCAATTAAATAATTAAGTATTCGAGAGCTACATCTGTCCAACTTACATGAGATTTCAAAAAAGAACAGGGGAGATGAGCTTGACAAGAGAGGAACACTGCTTTCTTATATTTATTTCTCAAATATTAGTATTCCACTGGTGACGACCAAGCTGAAATCATTAAAAAAAACTGGACAGATAAAAATTACTGTGGATCTCAAGATCAACTTGGTTTAATTAGAATCGTAAAAGAAACATGGCAGTCAGCTGCTTTAACTAAATCAGAATCTGCTCAGCGTAATAAATAAAATAAAATAAATAATAAATAAAAGAAAACAATTATAATTATTAAAATTATAATTTTTTTTCAACTCCGGAGACATTGTTTACTTTTCGATCATTTGGATTCTCCGAATACTTCGTAAAACTGAGTATGAGCAGCACTAGTGCTGACAGGTCACTGCATACCAGGAAGACTCTAAAGAGGAGAAGGAATCCATGTTTCGGTTTTTTTTATCAAGTCTCATCTTTGACCAATAAAAAGTAAAAAATCTTTAGGCACCTTTTCCTACCGGCTTCTATTTCCTACCAGCTTTCCTGACAGAGCTGTCTGCCTCCATAATTAGGGATTTCTTCAGGTTTATAGACTTGTCAGGTCTTTCATCCTTTGTTGGCTTCAAGATAAAGTAGAACTTTTACTACTGACTTGTTTTTTCACTGATATAACCCAATAACGTAATTGAACTTCAGCAGTAGTTAAAAAATCAACGATAAGAAAAATACATAAACAAAAAAGCACTTAAGTGCATTGTTTTACATATCACAGTTTTTAACTACTTTATTATTACAGTTGAAATCAGAGACGTCAGTGTTTACATTCAAATTCATTCATCATTAATAAATTAGTATAGAAGAGCTAGTTTTAGATAGCACGAGTGTATTCAAATATTTTTAGGGCATATGTATGAAAACAAAAATTGTGGTGTGTGGTATAGAATGTGGAGAGAATTAATTTCAATTTTATACCTCTCATATGATCACGTTTCTACTAATGGTAGCTCTGATATAAGAACAGTAATATCTTACTAAAGCAGAAAATAGCTTTAGTAAAATTAGATTATTTTATCAATTTATAGGCCACTTGCTAGCATTATCTGAGTCAGTAGCTCTGACACAAAAGTACGGATAAAAATTCGTTAATTTGAGATTCCTGATATATTTTTTACATTTTTTTTGCAACAGAATAAAATTACACTGATACTATATTCTTGAATTTTGAAAATATGTGGCATTTAGAAGAAATAACAGATGGCTACTAGGATAGGATACTAGTAGTATATTTGAACAATTGGTTTGTATTAAGTTAATTGTTTTGTTTTTAGTCTTTTCACTGTTTTATAATGGTTTGGAGAAAGTTAATATAAAAAATTATATTTATAATTTTATAGACTTATTCCATAAAAATATGTGTATTGATATTTGCATTCTGGAATTAGAAAGGTTAAATACAAACCCCCCAATATGGTTCTTGAAGAAAAATGGTATGCATCCAAAATGAAACTTAATAGTGCATAGTATGTAGAACTTAATACCCAACTGAGTTGAATTCGGGTTATTAAAACAAAAAAAAAAAATTTAATAAGTGTGTTCAAAAATCAAAATCTTTAATGCTATCCGACTACTCAAAAAGTCCCCACTTTCATTTTAAAGGTACAAAAATCTGTGTTGCGTTAGCGAAGCAAAATGAACATGATTGATAAGATATCTGATGAATTTAAGAGGATATTGAAAAACCAGAAACAAAAAACCTAAATATTCATATTATTATTCCATCTTTAACGTTTACTTATTCAGACGACAAAACGTTTATTTAAATTAGAATTGATAACAGATTTGCTTATTACGAAGAGTTCAATTTCGTTATTGGAAATTGATACATGTTTCTTTTTATCATTGTTTATCATTGGTGTTTCCTATTAAATTGAAAAACTGTAGAAATTAGTCATTACTTCACTTTAAATTAATTGATAAAATTATATTAACAAAGTTAAATTATTGTAAAATCTTCAAGACATGTTTGAAACAACAGATCCGTAGCACTGGGAATATGTTTGTTATAACAATTAAATTAATAAACTAATGATTTATTTAACAATTATTATATTAAAAACAATAACAAATCCATTGGCAGAATATATACCATATATATTCTACTATATAAGTGGTCACATATTTTATATATTTTATTATTTTTTAATTAAAAAATATATATTTTTATATAAATTTCTTATTTATTAAACACATCAACTAAATGAATTTTTATTAATTTTCAACTCTCCGGTTTATTTTGTATAAATACTATTATTATGAATATTTTATTGCATATTTAGCACAAAACTATTTATTTATTTTATTTGTTGTATATTAATTAATATAACATATTATTATAATAATATATTTTACATATATGTGTATTTTTGCACAAATAAGTATCGGAGTATTATTTATTCTTCAGTATCTGGTTTGGCACTGACTACGAGTTCTTTTCTCTATGAAAACTACCATTCGATAAGAAAAAGTATCTTTATCATTGAAAGATTGCTTCTAATTATGATAAAAATTAAACGATGTTTTTTTGATAAGAAGAAAACAAATCAATACTCTTATACGTATAAAACTTTATGAAGAAAACAAATCAATACTCTTATACGTATAAAACTTTATGACATTTTTATAACTAACGCTTAAGCTTAAAAAAAGTATATTTGCATTAATGAAAGTATTTAAGTTTATAAGTATAACAATTTTTTTCTTATTATTTTATTTTTCCAACTTTTATTTTATTTATTTAATTATTATAAATTTTTTATTATAACTACATTATTTTCTAGAATTAGTATCGATCTCAATACTTATGTGTTTTTGTTTATAATAACACTGAAGATAGTCGAAATATAATATCTTTTACACGATCCAAAGCCCGGCAAAATTTAAACATATATTATTTTTTTTGAAAATGTAATTCCTCCATCATCACTACAAAGGAGCAACTCCTTTATTCAATCAATTGCTTGAATTTGAACGATCCATTTCTTTTAAAGAAGCGTTGCCAAACAATCGTTACGGATACTCTAGGAAAAAATTATGAAAAAAAATTACAAAAAAAAAAATTTGTAACGTTAAATTAAGTGATTTTATATATTTTGGTTAAATAATTTCAATACAGTAGATAATAAGTTCTATATATTTATAATATATATGTAGAGGATCATTGCGACTTATTTAGCTTAAGTGGAATAAAGTTCCAATAGGCCTGGAATTTCTTTCCAATAGAAAGACAGCCTGGAAGCAGGCAGGAACCATAACATGGTCTGGAATATTTTATATAACTGAAATTGCTTTATAAAAACAGAGATCCAAAAAACAAAATTTACATATAAAAATTTAGAGGAAATTCAGAATAGTACCCATATGATTATGCCATTTACATCAAATAAAGTTCATTGCATTGAAAGCGTGAATTTGTTTTTAAATGATTTAGAAGTATGCTCATTATTCCATTAGTCCCGTCTCATATACACCTCTTGGCTACATCCATGGGGTATGGGCCTTCACTAAGTTTCTATGTATGTATATTTGTTTTATCTTCGATAATCATTTTTATAGTAGGCTTCTATGAATCATTAAATTAATATATAAGTATATATAAACAAAAACTATGTATAAACAGTCGCTATGACTGTGACATAATGTCATCCGTTGGCTTATAGTATAATTAGTATTAATTTTGTTGCATTGATAGGTTTAAATAAAATATTAAGTTGTTAAATAAAAGTATACATAAGAAATAATTAAAAAGCATTTATTTATATTATGTGCCATTTGTGGAATATCCTTTATAAAATAGCGTTATATATTATAATGGATACATCCGAATATATCCGCTTATTTTTATTGTTAATTTCGCCCAGATGTTTTTATTAGAGATTGAATTACAGCTAGCACAAACCTTTTTTTTTTGGTAGATAAATAACCAAAAAGAAACCTTCACTGGTATATGTATTATTGTAATTATTATAATATAATACTATTATATTATTATAATATACATTATTTAAATGTGTTTTGGAGTTAGATACTAAATTTTTATATTGAAGACTGCTTTATTTAAAAATTATTATAATTTTCTTTGGTGTATTGGTTTTACAATAGTAGTATAACTAATATATTTTAAAAAAATAAAAAGTACAAATTTAAAAAGAAAATTATTAACTTTCGATTAAAAATATTGCAAAACAACATTGTAATCATGCACATCATATATTTTGCTTCTCATATCTAAATTAATATAAATTAAGCTGAATTTATATATGTCAAGTATTATATACAATGATCACATGTTTAAAATATGTTTTTTGAAGTATGTACATTAACTAGTTACTTTATCGAATTATATACATTTAATTTATATTGCTTTATTTAGTATTTTTTTATATATTTAATGAAAAAATTACATTAATTTTCAACAAACTTAATTAACAAAACCAAAATTGGCTAAGCGTTCAGCTATCTTTTCTTGTATGTACAACATATACAATCTAAGTGTCGACTTATTATTTATAAAAAGGTATCTCAACACGTCCGCCCTTATTGTTAATAACTTGCCAGCAGGTACACGCAAATGTGGCACGATCCATTGTATCAATGTATAATTTGCCATTCAGATGATCCATTTCATGTTGTGCAATACGTGCATTCCAACCGTTCAATTTTAACTCCAGTGGTGCACCTTTTCGATCTAAACCAGTAAGTAGCACACTATCGTAACGTTCTACTTCGGCAGTGAAACCACGTACGCTCATGCAACCTTCAGGGTGTTTATGCAGAGAATAATCTGTCACTTTCAAAACTGGATTTATTACAACCTGTAAAAAATTAATATTACTATAGTTTTTACTTTTAAATTATGTTAAAAACACCTACAGTTAATGGAAATGTTGACATTTTACGTGCTTTATACACAGCTTCTGAGAATTGTTCCTTTTTCCCTTCATGAAATTCCAAGGCTATTATGCGTAGCGAAACACCAACTTGTGGAGCAGCCACGCCCACACAATCATATTTATGTAATATTTTAATCATGCGATCTGTAACAAGTCTTACTTCTTTGCTGTCTACTAATTCCTGTGGCACTAGCGCTGCTTCAGTACGCAGCACTGGATCACCCACTTGTGTGAAATGTTCATAAGGTGGCACAAATCTTGGTTTTGGTGTCCAAAAATCACGATATTTTTCACGAAAAGTTTTTGCTACTGTTGTTGAAAGTGAAAACAGCCTTCCGTTCACATTTGAAAATGTTTTAGAAACAATATTTAATTTTTGTAAAGCCATTGGAGTTGTTTATGCAATTGTGTTTTATATTTTGACATTTCTTTGCCGGTAAAACAGCTGTTTTTATATATGCCTAACATGCCTGTTTTAGCTATTTGACATATAGTTGGTTGGTTGCTGTTAGTAACAGTTCCTATGTTTATGACAAATGTTATTAACATTTGTGGGTAAATGTAAAAATTCTATCTTTCTACATTAACGTTATTTAGAATTTGATTTGAATTTTTAGAATTAATTAATAATTAATATTTTTATAACTAAACATCTAAATCTAAATAAAATATTACAATTGAACATTATAAAAAATAATTTATTTAATTTTATTTTAGATTGGAATTGTGGCATTTCATAACCTACATATGTAAAATATTTTTTCCTGCATTTTGTATTTAATTTTTAATAAATGAGTTATGAATACAAATTATCACAATTGGTTTTTAATAATAATTTTTTTTTATTTTATATAAAGACTAATAAACTCTAAATTAATCTAAATTAAATAATTTAAAAATATATCTCTCATACAAATTTTAGTTAAAGCAATTTTCAAAAACGTAGTGGTTTTTATTTTGGCATTATATATATAATAATAGAGGTGTTTACGTTAAGTTGTTTCGTTATTATTTATTATTTTTTCTCTTTCTCTTCACTAATTTATAATTCTAATACTTATTGTCTATATACATCCTGTAGAAATTCGATGATATTTCATTTGCGGTTAATATATTTTATTATGCCGTTATAAACATTTATTGAATTATTAAAATCGGACTTTACATTATTAATTTACAATTTATATTATAATATTTTTATAATATATTTAAATTTATAATTAATTCGGTTATTTTGTGCTTTTTTGAGATAAAGCAGCAAAAAAATATAGTTCATTAATTTATTAGTTCAAATCACTGTACCCGCCATATACGGGTAGCTTCAGCAAGCTTGCTTACTTGCAAGTTGCAACGTCGCTTTGAAATCTGTCAAATAATTATCTTTGACTTTAACGGTAAGATGAAATACATGATAGCTGGACCCTTGGATTTACGCATACAACCCGAAAAGAACTGACCGATAATGCGAATGTTATGCAAAAAGTGAGCTAAACTCCTTCAGAAATTAAAGTCATGGAAACAGGTTTTTCTATTTATTGAGGTATGCTATATTATGAATATTATTTGAGGGTTATGCAAATTTTGCGTAAATCTATTGGCTAAAGGAGGTTAGAATTATTGGTGCTTGCGCCACAATACTTCACCACATCTCATTGATTTCTTGAGAGCATTTCGATAAAATTTTGGTGTATGTCATTTCACAATCATCGATTTCGTCTGGTTTTGAACTATCTGACTTCTGACTATTCTCCAAGCCCAAGTGTGTGTTTAACGGATAATACTTTAACACAATTGAGAAGGTAAAAACTGAATTGTGGCGTGCTTTGAGGAGCATTCCGAAAATCGACTTTTGAAATTGCTTACAGGATTGAAAAAATTTTAGGATAAGGAGTGGAAGCACTTCCAAGGTAATGAAATGAATTTAGATGATTTTCTTTTTCTTGTTTGGCACTACAGTCCAGTTTGGCCGCCTGAAGGTTGCGTAGCGTGCGGTTTTATTCCGATGCGAGACAGCTAACCTAGGGATCAATTCCCAACCTGGAGTCCCCTTATTTGCAAACCTGGTGATAAGATTGGTGTTTGGTAGCTAGAGAATTTCCCCTCTGCTAAATTTTAAAATTTATAAATAATTTTAAAAATATTTAAAATTTGAAAATTTTTTAATAATAAATAGATAAAGTGTTATAATATTTTCATGAAGCAAACCATAAAAGTACAATCAGCTGAAGATATTTTTAAAGATTATGATAATTTAATTCAAGATGGTAAATAGTAAATGGTAGATACTAGTGGTAGTCGGGTTTATAGAATTATGTCGTTTACGTAAGCTTTTTATTTCACAATTGGGACCTATTTCGGACCAGATAGCCAAAATTCAAAATTGAGTTCAAAGAACTTAATTTTAATTCACAATTTTTTATGTCTAATGTATTACAGTATTCGTAATTCTTCAACTGTAAGGCTAATCAATTAATACAATTGATTTATCTTATTACCAGTGTGAATATATTTCGATTTGTAAAATTATAATCGTTACATTTGTAAAATTTATTATCAATCAAATTAGTTACTTTCTTAAAGCCAAGACTTATTTGATATATGTAAATTTATAGTTCAGACACACGTTAAAAGTTAATTTGAACTACGCCTCTATACAGGTACTCAGAAATTAGCCTGTGGTCAAATGACCACAGTTTCAATTTACCAGTGAGTAGCTTCAATTTGCTAGTAAACTAGCAAATCATTTCTAATATGCATATGTTTACCTAAAAACACATAGAAATTCTTATGAGTTCCCATTTGTTTAAGCGAAACCAACAAACGTCCATATTTTAACAAGTAAACATCGAACACATCATACTCAAGGTGCATATTCGTAGGCGCATTTAAACTCGCATAAACTGAAAATAGAATCTATTTCATCCATTTCCAGGTCATTTATCATTTTAGCACTACGTTTAAGTGGGTAGCCAACAAAGACTTCCTAAGAGGGTAAAGAGTGAAGGGGAAATTGTAGTTATTCATGTTATTCAGTATTTGTTTAATATGAAAATGCTGACCATCAGGCATAGTAAAGGCAAAGGAAGATGCTGGGAAATGTCATGGATGCAGTATGAAAATGTCTATCTGGAATTTTTTGTTGTTGAAGAAATGAGCATCAATTTATCTGCAATGTATGCTGTACAATTTTAGTTATATATCTTTCATCCATTGTATCTGTTGTGCCAATAAATCTCTTGCAATGGTGTGGAAAGATATATAAAGGAAGTGATGTGTTATGTTTCAGGAATTTCTGTCATTATTTTTTTACAGAGCTTAATTTGTTCTGTTAAAAATAAATTTTTTTTTGCAATTTAAATAAATATTTTAAAAATTTATTGCAAATAAAATCGTACTTTACATTGAGTAAACAAAAAATTACTCTAAATTCACTATTTGTATTAAAGCGAGAATTAAGTAATGATTATTTAAATAATTAATTATAAATGAAGAATAATTAAGAAAAGATTTATGAAAGTTTTTTGGATACAAGAAGTTCAGAATTAAAAATTTTTCTTCGAATTTTTTCTTAAAATTGTTTTAAAAATAATTACAGTTACTTAAGAGGCGTACGCGTATAGTTTCAAGTCTCACCTCCAGCTATCGTGTATTTCATATTATCCTGATAGTCAGAATGCGTTGGGCTATTAAGTGATCAAAAAAGTACCACATAGTTTTTGATATCAGTAAGCCGATTTTTTTTTTTCAGATTCGCACCAAAATTATTATTCCTGTTTCCTATGAGGTGATTTATGATTTCTAGATTTATGGAGTATTGCAAATAAAAATTGTTAACTTCTGATACAAAAATAATGACATCACCATATTCCGGTTACGTTATGTATATCATATAAAATTTATACGACGTTCAGAAAAAATTATATGACCTGATGTTCGTAATGTAATTGAAATATTCATCTCAAATGATGGTACCTATCATAAAAAGAATTGGAAAACTCGTTCGTAGATTTGTGTTTTCACAGTGACCTGAAACAACTCCAGCCTTCTTCGTTCAATAAATGAAGTTATAGGATTTAGATTAAAAAAACGTGCATATTCTTTAAGTAATATTGGGTAAATAATAGTCAGTTACCCCGGATTTTTGTCACTAAATGGTGCTGGGAACCATGTATCTAACAACATTTATCCGATTATGCCAAAGGTACACATGTTAGAAAGGTTACATTTCTTTCTACATTTTCTTATGAAGACAGTTGTCTAACTTTTCGTTCTTGTAAAAAGTTATATTGAGTTAAAAATAAGTTAATAAGTGATTATTATTGGTATTTACTACTATTGTAAAAGAAAAACGAAATTGAACATGTCAAAAAAATGCCATTCTGGAAAATTCTATTTGAAAGAAGACCGCATCTTGGTCGGTCAGTTACTAAAAGAACCGGTGAAATTGTGAAACTGATGGAGCAATACCAACATGCTATCAGGAGACAACGGAGCTACTAAATATCATCCTTGTGACTTTTTAGCATAAGTGATGAGGTAAGTGATGAGTAAAAGGAAGTTACGCAAAAAATCTTTAGAAAATTTAATCGATCGAATTACAGGTCATTAAAATGGTGCTTGAACGAAATCGTGTCATACTGGTGAAATCAATAATGAATTGAAGTGTTTCAACATTGACTAAAAAAATGGATTAAATGAGAGAATCCAATGCAAGTGATCAAAGCCGGTGATTCTCTACAAACGCTTTCAAAGCCAGATTTGATGACAAGCAAGGATATGTTGAGCGTTTGGTGGGATTGGAAGAAAAATGTGTATTTCGAGTTGCTCAACCTGGTGTAATGGTTAATTCGGTTCTCTACTGATCACAACTCAACTGCTAGAATATAATAATCAAAGAAAAAGGCTCAGATTTGGTCAACAGAAAATGAGTTGTGTTCCATCATAATAATGCTAGGACCCACATACCTTTGATGACTCAAAATAAATTGATGGAACTTGCCTTGATTAAAATTAAAAAAAAAGAACATAGAACGTCGAGCATAATCTAACATAGAATTAATGGTCTATGTTCGGTCGTGATTAACCGTATTTTTGTGTAGGTTTATTACCCTCAAATGTAATTACTGACTTTTCTGAAGCATGAACTTGATATCGATAAAAATAATTTATTGACAGAAAATATCAATATATTTGTAATCTGCTGAATAGGCTACCAGCTATGCAAATAGAATCATCTGATACAGCTTTATTTTTCCTTTGGGGTTTCGTTAAATAATCGATTTAATGTAATAAATCACGAACGCGCAATGACTTTAAAATTAATATGATTTGTGTTATTAGCGAAAGTAATGTAGCTTATAAATTATTTTTCCCTCCTTATCATATGTTCGCACTTCTTCGTCAAATTAATAGAAATGTGTCCTCGCCTT